TTACGCGAAAGGGGGAAAGTTATTGATGAGACCCGCGCGTGCGACCGGTCCCCATAATCATTACGTTTACGATTATTGCGCGGTAGAGTTTGTTTGATCGGTTCAAAGGTTACATCCTGATCAAATTGAGTCAAACTGAAAGAACAAGTAACAGAATTTTACGTCACTAGTCCTAGTTGCTTTTGTCTTCGGACTAGCAGCAGGTGAGCACAACCAATTCTTGCAAGAGAACATCTTTTTCTTTTGCCCCTCCCGCTTATCTATCTATTTACGCGTTATTGCGATACGTCACGTTCTGTTATTTCTAAACCTCAATGTCATGTTCCTCGTATTAAATTCGATTCAAGAATTGAATCACCGATACAGTTATTTTCTGAATTTACCTAGATTTTTCCAATAATTGTAAGTAGTAATAGATAACCATAATTTCTGCATCGTTTGTTTAGGTTTCAGAAGTACGTGTCCATTTTTGAAATATGCATGCTTTGTGCTGATTTTATTAAGTATTTCTTTTGTTTTTTTTGTAATTAAGAAATCTTGTATGTATGCGTTTTTTCCAATTATCGATAATAATGTAGAATGAATGTTTTCACATATGTATGTATTAAATATAAAGATAACGAGCAGAGTTGCAACAGATTGTTGGTTTATGGTTATAGTAAATATTAACGAGTTTAAGAATTGTTGATGTTTTCAATAAAAATGTTTAAAACTAATTTATTTATAATAATAGTGTTACTGATTAAAGAACTTTATTTAGGGTTCAACAGAAATCACAATGTCTTTGTGGGCCAAAGCACAGCAGTTGCCACAAGATGCATTGCAGCAAGTACGTTCAGTATATGGAGAACACTTTCCTATTGAGGTTCGGCATTTTTTGTCTTCTTGGATAGAAGAAAAGATGTGGTAAGCTATTGTATCTAGATATTTATTAATGTTTTATTTGCTAGTATCATAATTCAGTAATATTTATAATTATAGGACCGACATAGAACCTGATAATCCACAATATGAACAATACATTGCTAATCTTGTTAGATCTTTAATACAAGAATTAGAAACAAAAGCAGCTTCATTAAATACAGATGACATGTTTTTGACAAAAATTAAGTTGATGGAAGTTGCTAAAAGTTTTCGTGTAAGTTCTATAATTAAGCGCCAATGAGTAAATTAAAATACATTGTTTATTTTTAATTATCTATTTTCCCTTTAATGTAGCAGAGATATTCTCACAATCCAGCAGCATTATTTAGAATAATTAGACATTGTCTAGGCACAGAAATGAAACTGGTAGCTCAATTGGAAAACTTAGGTGGTGCTTTAATGACAATGGCAGGAGGAAAAGTAGGACTGATTAGCGACGCGGTTGCTGAAATAGCACAACATGTTGAATCTTTACGGCGCAGAACACAAGAAACTGGGGAAGATTTAAGAAAAATGGAGCAAGAGCAAGAAGCATTTGCAATTAGCTATCATGAATGTACAAAATTAAATGCACATCTCCAGCATCTTGCAACACAGCCACAGAACCAACCAAATTTAGATTTGGAGAAAAAAATCAGAAGGTAAGCCTATATATGTATAATACGAAATTCATTCAATAATTTAGTTCAAATAATGTAAAACTAACAAATTACTATAGACAAAAGGAACAACAGGAACAATTATTGAACCATAAAGTGGCCGGTTTGATGCAATTACGTCTGACGTTAGCCGATAAACTAAAGGACACTATTACCAGATTAAATAGTCTACAATCTAGAGTCTTAGATGATGAACTTATTAGATGGAAAAGAGACCAGCAGTTGGCAGGAAATGGTGCACCGTTCAATAGTAATTTAGATTCTATTCAAGAATGGTGTGAAAGTCTAGCAGAATTAATATGGCTGAATCGTCAGCAAATTAAAGAAGCCGAGCGTTTAAAACAAAAGTTTGCATTGGAACCACCCGGCATGCAAGATATTCTTCCTACATTAAATTCACAGATTACTCAGCTTCTCAGTTCATTAGTTACAAGCACGTTTATTATAGAAAAACAACCACCGCAAGTGATGAAGACTAACACTCGTTTTACGAGTACGGTACGTCTACTTGTAGGTGGAAAATTGAATGTTCACATGACCCCTCCGCAAGTAAAAGTGAGCATTATTAGCGAAGCTCAAGCGAATGCTTTATTGAAGAGCGATAAAATGGCGAAAAATGGTGAAGCTAGCGGTGAAATTTTAAATAACACAGGAACAATGGAGTATCATCAAGTAAGAAAGACGAAAATAAATCGTAATATATAATAGTTGAGAAATCATATTTTACAATATTACTAAAAAAATTATGATTTCATATTTTAGGCAACAAGACAACTTTCTGTGAGCTTTCGTAACATGCAGTTAAAGAAAATAAAAAGGGCGGAGAAAAAGGGAACAGAGTCTGTTATGGATGAGAAATTCTCCCTTCTTTTTCAATCGCAGTTTAGCGTTGGAGGAGGTGAATTAGTATTTCAGGTTTGGACATTAAGCTTACCAGTTGTAGTAATCGTACATGGAAATCAAGAACCACATGCATGGGCTACGGTCACGTGGGATAACGCGTTTGCCGAACCGGGAAGAGTACCATTCGCAGTACCCGATAAAGTTCCATGGGGTCAAGTAGCCGAGGCATTAAACGTGAAATTCAGATCAGCTACCGGTCGTTCGTTAACAGAAGATAATCTACGGTTCCTTGCGGAAAAGGCATTTCGTGGCGGAGCTGCGAATGGACAAGATTATTCTAGTTTACTTTTAAGTTGGGCACAATTTTGTAAAGAACCATTACCCGAAAGGAATTTTACATTTTGGGAATGGTTTTATGCTGTTATGAAATTAACCAGGGAACATTTAAGAGGTCCTTGGATCGATGGTTACATATTGGGATTCGTAAGAAAGAAACAAGCTGAAGAAATGTTAGCTAATTGTGCGTCAGGAACTTTCCTAATGCGATTCTCAGACTCTGAACTCGGTGGTGTTACCATCGCTTGGGTTGGAGGTAATTTTAAAACTGTCTTTTTCACTTCCTTTTAACGATCCTCAATTATTTGTGATATTAAATATTTTTCAGATCAAACGGAAGTGTTCATGTTACAACCGTTCACAAGTAAAGATTTTGCGATTCGCAGTTTAGCGGATCGTGTATCCGATTTGCAACATTTACTTTACCTCTACCCGGATTTGTCGAAAGATCAAGCGTTTTCAAAATATTATACACCATTCACAGGTAAATATTTTATTTTCATACTTTATGTTTGCTCGTTTTTCGATGATGCCTCGAGGTTTAAATTATGTACAATGCATTTTGTCGTAGAAAATCAATCTACGTCGACAAATGGATATGTAAAACCTTTGTTAGTAACGCACGTACCTGGTTGGGGTGGACCGGGTGTTGGTGGTCAAACACCATCGCATTCTTCTGTTGTTGGGGTAGGGAGTAGTGGTCAAAGTGGTCCGGGTGGTAGTTATCCTGCAACCCCATCAACTATGTTTCAAGCGCACAGTCCTGATCCGTCCGTAACGCGCGACACTCCATCAGTGGCTTCCAGGTCAGTTCCCTGGATCTAAAGTATCAATCATTTCTCTTTTACTCTTAATAAAATAGGCTGCCATAGTTATTTGATACAAGATATGCAAAGATTCTTTTCACTTTTTTATATATGATGCATTTAAATATTGAAAAAGTATACTTAATAAAAATTCAGTCTGAATGTTTCAAACTACATATATCATAATTCCGGTGATTGTATCGATGCTGTCGTATCGATAATATATGGATATTTAAATTTTCGTAAAAAGAAAAAATGAAAAACATTCCCACATTGAATAAAGTGCTTTGCATGTCTTTTACATCTGATCTGTGCACATAATGTCAGTATTGTTTTTTATGTTCTGCTTTTGCGAACGTTTAGCAAATATTATAGTTTGCAATGATATTGTAGTTCTGTATTTTGTAAACTTTTCTTACGGAATTTTGAAGTTTTTATACTACTGTATGGTGAAATGAAAGTATCAGTAATGTTAAGTTGTATTTGTGCTTGTAATTAAGAAGATCATACATGTTGGAGAATACTGGGTGTCTGAAGACAATTTTCGTAAAATCGAGTAACGGGGAAAATATACATAATATTATTCTTGCGTATACTTTATTAAGTATACGATACTTATCAAGTAACTAGTCTTTCACAGTTTTTGTTTCTTTTCTTTTTATGTTTAATTTCATTTGAATTAGTCTCTGTGTCACCCAGCACTCTGTTTTGGATATTATAATTTGTTTTTTTTTTTCGTTTTTTTTTTTTTTTTTTTTTATCGATAAGTACACGTTTAGTATGTATCAAGTGGCATTGTTAAAGAAACGCGATATATTTCATAATACCATCATTAAATGTCCAAAGTCCTCCGCATGAAAATCTTTTATATTAATTAAATGCAGAGAAGATGATAACGATAATGATGTTCTTAGTGAAAGTTGATAAATGTATATTGTATGCATTTGATCATGTGGTGCTATAGCATAGCGTAGCTGGATAATATGTTAAATTTTATTAAGAATCGCTTATAAAGCAAATTATAATGAAATCCGTCCAGCGGATCAAGTAGATAAATGGAGGATTTTTGGATGCAAGGAGCAACAGTTTTTAACCGTTGGTAGTTTATTCGATCTTTGCCTTTCCTTTTTCTCTTGTTTCTGTTATAATTGACAACCATATAGTTTGTAACACGAATACCGGGTAACGATCCTGAGGTTTGTTAAGAAATAATAGTTTGTACTATCTTCTCAGACTGCCAAATTTTCTATGTCTTTTTTTTTTAGAGAGAGAAACGGCTTATCCATGGCATTAAAAAATATATCTGAGTATCAAAAGCTCTTGCTTCACTCGTAATATTGTATATGTATATTTATACACCTGTGTGCGTACCTGCGCATACTTTTTTACACATGAGTTCATATGAAAAAAAAATAAAAAAAAAATTTTTAAAAAAAAAAAGGAAAAGTAAGATATCAATAATTGAATAAGCTGAATCGTAATAAGTATTTGCGCATGCGCAACGTACTGCTTAATACGAGATTCCGAGAAACGGAAGGCAAAGGCCTGGAGCAAGCCGGTACAACCACAACAACGGAATATTAAATGCTTAAATGCTACTGCTGAATATAAAAACGCAGCTCCAATCACGATGCATTATAATTACATAGTTCTTCAACAACTGGCAATCCCGAGCTTATACTCTAAAGGTTTTGTTACGAGACGGTGGCAATTGAATCGTTTTCGGGGGGTACAAGTCGTTAAATCCCCCGTACGATACACGATATAATATCACCTGTGTTATTTCGGGTGGGAAGGATGATAATGTCGAGTGACCGATAAATTTTCGATTGGGTTGGGTAATTCTTTGTGGTTGTTCGTACATCCCTTGCCGTGTTGTACCGGCTAATCCGGCTGATCGGTCACACGTTTCGTCGAAACCATGATAGATGTCTAGACGATGAGAGAAGTACAGAGATCTAGATGTTTCAGAAACAATGAAAGACAAATATGTAAAGCAAAGGAGAAAGAAATGAGAGAGGGAAGAGTTAAAGAAAAATAAAATCGATCAACGATATCATATTTAATTTGTTTGGATTTCATTCGAGACTTTTGTCCATTACTATGCCAGTGATTGGGGTTGTGTTTTGATCTGTGGTAGCTACGCTCCGGGCCTTGGCCAGTCAAGCGTTGGGCGAACAAATCCGGACATGGACTATGTGGAGCTGATGGGTCACGGTGAGCTGCCCTCGATCGACGAAAATCTCAACTTGGACCACTTTAATGGCTTTAGCTTCTCCGAGTTCATTCAATCGTACAGTGCTAAGCCACAATAGGTATGTCAGGCGCGACTATATTTCTCTTGTACCTACGTGTCGATTAAACGTATTTTAACATCACTTTCATCTACATTTTAAATCGTACCGTATTTGAAATTGTTGTTTTTAAATAGGGGAGGGATATATAACAAATGATATATCGTCGTCTCCGATGTTATAGTTTTACCTAAATCACTTTAGGGGTTAACCCGTTGTCCTTCTGACAAAGCGCGGCATACCCTTTCATTCTATCGTATAAGTGCAATATATCTAGAAACGAACAAACGTTGTCCTAGTACCTTTTACGAACCATCGAATTTTAAAATCGCTTGTTTATGTATTAATGTTGTTCAGTTGCATATTTTATACGGGTACGTGTAACGTTTAAGCATCGCCTTACGAAGTGCTTAAAATTAATTCTTTCTTCTGTTTTCAAGTCGAATAGTATTTCTTGTTGAAATCGAAATGTTATAGATATTAAATGTTTCATGGTATGAAAGAAAGCACATGGCATACTTAGATGAACAAGCTAATTGATTTCTTATAGCGTCGAGTGGTGCGCTATCAAAAAAACTCTGTTTTGTACAAAATAATTGAAATCATTTTTACAGATGTTAACGTTCAACGATCTTCGTTCACGAGTGTGTATGCGTGCGTATGTTCTTCTTTTAATTGAAATATGTATTTGTTCTTTAGACGGTAACCTGATGGATACTCTATTACTGAAACGTTATCGGTTGTTTGAAAGAAAATATGCGAGATAATAGAGTAACGAATGATATTAATGTCCGTTGACAATAGAATCGGTATGATGATAAACGTACAGACAATCATTTACGTACAGTCATTGTAAATAGCGATGAAGTTACACGGGACAAAGATTTTAATTTAAACGATGGCGAGAGTAGCGAATAGAAGAGTAACAGGGTTTGTGCAACGCTAAGAGTAGCGATTCGTGTGACCTAAACTATGTGCCTTAAGATCTTCGAATCGATACGGTGATGATATTTTTTGAAAATTCTTATTCAAATTTATATGTATTTTTTCCGTAGAGATTTTCTTTGTATCTCCAATGATTTGTAAACGTTACATTCATTCAAAGAGCTTTTAGAAAATCAAAAGTCAACATTTTCTTCGGCTTCGTGTTTTCGATACGTTCAACGATGTATGTACATATAATAGATTTTCACAATATTTCAACTGGAAAAACTTTCTCACTGTATTTCTTAACACTAAGCAGTAGAAAGTTTCATTGGTCAATTTAAAAATAGATAATTATTCGTTCCCTCCCCTGTACTTTATACATCATTGAAACTTTATCAATTGTTGCCCATACGTAAAGTATGCTAAGCTGTATCCAGGTTAGAATGACACACATCGTTATCTTTATTATTCTTTTAATATAATATAATAGTATAAATACATATATATATACATTATATATACGTGAGTATACATATATATATATAATTTGTATATGTTTATAGATATATCGTACATGTGTATATATAAACATATTATATCTATACGTACGTATGCATGTGTGCGTGTATGTACGTATGTAATAAGCTGAACTTTTGAAAAGTGTACGTTATAATATTGTCTATTGATCTTTTATCAAAGATTAGAGTTTATTTTATTATCGAAAACAATTTTACTGTTTGTAAAGGATATACGTTATTCTTATTCATCCTGTACACAGTAATTAATATGTAAGTGTAAAATAAAATTTTGTTCGTATATCGACTTACCGAATAAAAATAGCTATTAATCGAATTTTTTAATATTCATGGTAAGAAGATTAATTCGATACGATCAAAATTTTTCTGTATAATTTAAACCCTGCAATCGATTTCAGCTTTCGCAGTAGGGTTTAATTGTTCAGCCAAAGGACACGCGTCCTTCGTATCTAAGCAATCGCATTCTTCCGGTATACAGGTTTCCTCGTAATATCCCGGCGCTGGATAGCTAGCTTGATAAATCGTATCCGTGCACATGCGATTCGTGGGTGGTTGATATTTCCCTTTAGACGCCCAAGGCATTTCTTCTTTCCGGATCGGTGTCCACGATTGATACGACAATTTGCTCACCGTCTCGTTCTCGATTTTATCTTGCGATCTAAAGAAAAATCCAATAAACAAATACGTCGAACGATTATCGTCGTCGAGACGAACCTGATGTATTGAGCAACGGGTTTGAAGCTTCGAGCAAATTCGATCGGTTCTGGTTTCATGAATGATAATTTCGCCGTCGTTTTGTCGTCCATCGGTGCGTCGGCGCTTCGAAGATTATTACATGGAAGTACGAGATCCGGTCGCATCGTTGTTTTGGCGTTAAAATCGCAACGATTTGTGGTCTGACACTGCATCGGACCGTCTCCTATCATGTTTCTCTGCCTTGGTAGTATCGGAGCACGTTTCTCGCTCTGAATCGGCTGATAACTCAGCTAAAAAACAAAATTAATTCGAAAAGCCATCAGACAAAATTATAAAAACGCAGGGGTATCACGTACTTTGCTCGTCGTGTCCCCTGATATTTTTCCATCGGCTTTTGATATACTCCCAGATGGAATAAACGGTTGCACACGTTCCGTGCTATCCGATTCCAAATAGCTCTCTTTGTAAATGGTCTTTCCTTCAAACTGTCCACCTTGAGGAAGTACGTAAGCAGTGGCAGAAGGTCGGATAGGTTTCTCCGTGCATGCATCCTCGTTCTTCAGGTAGCTCTCGGAGTAGGTCGTTTTTGCGCACATCGCAATATCTGGAGGGCTTTATAATTTCTCGTTAAAACGTCTCGGTAGAGATGAATTTTAATCCGTGGTACATAAGCGTACTTGTAGGCCGGTTTCTGCTTCCATGGATATATTTCTTTCTCCTCGATACAAACTGGCTGGTAACTTAATTTCTGTGTAGTATCGTGAAGTATCGGTTCGCTCGGAGGGCAATATATTCTTGCCGGTTTAAAATTAATCGTCGGCTCCGTGGGACCTGGATCACCGTATGACAATTTCGCAGTTGTATACCCCTCCAATTTACCGGTACTCAAACGGATATTCCCGCAGGGTAGTATGATCTCCGGCTTCTCCACGTGTTTCCGAGAGTAATCGTGTCGAACGGTGGTCACAGAGTCCATGGGACCCGATCCGATCATCGATCTAAACGCGAGAAGGAAGCAATGGTCCTTTTAGATTTCCTTGTCCTTTCGAAAGGTAAAATCGATCGTAACTTTACCTTTGCCTAGGCAGGATCGGTTTCGCTTTAGGGACATGTCCGGTGGGTTTGTAGCTCAACTTATTCGTCGTCTCTCCAGCAAATTTACCCTCGAATTTTGTTAGAGCGGGAACCGGTCGAATTGGACGTGATCTATTGCAACGCAATTCCGCTTGATCCACGTTCAAGAACGACAGGTGATAGGTGGTTTTAGTATCGAGCAACTTCGATGGAGGATTATACGTTCGCACAGGTGCGAATGATTTTGCTCGTGCCGGCTGTACATATCTGCTTGTACACTAAATACCAGAGATTATTGACAGAAATCATTCGATAATCGTCGGATTAAAATATATGAATTAACGTTACTTTAACGTTACACGGACACCCTAATGGTTTTCGATACAAAGGTTGCTTTCTTTGCGTACAGGTTTCTACTAATTCCATGTTGCTGATATTATATTTATCATCATCGTCGCCTAAATAAACGATACAGACACACGTTCTCAGTCAATAATGCCAAATTCAAAAGTTTCGCAATATAAAATACAACGATACAAAAGAATAAAAATCGTAACAATAAGTGGTAACGTTTCTGTTACATGTTGCGATCTGAATAAAACGTAGAATTTAATGACACGTGTGCTGCGAAGTTAGACTCGAATCGATATAGTTATAAAAAGAAACAAACAAATTCAATAATGAAATCGATGAACGAGATTCGTTAATTGAAATTTCATAAAAATTATTAGAGAAATTTTTATCTTTGCCTCTAATTTATTTTCTCATACTTTGTCGATTAAAAATATAATATCACGTAGATTGCGTAGAGTGTTTATTTTAAACAATAAGAATACGTTTTTTCGCTACTAGATCACAGTTCGCTTTTTCTTTTTTTTTTTCTTTTCCTTTCGTTTTTAAGATTCGACAGCGTCCAATGAAAACATGTAGATCGATGTGTTCTATTAATTAACACGTATCAACACGAAACGTTGGAAGACTTAGAAAACATACAATGCGATTATGCGATTGCTCGCTCTTTTGTTAAAGGGATATTGTTATAGGTATAATTATAAAACGCTATTATCTACATTCATTCGTCGCTTTTCTCACTTTTCCACACGAAGCATATCGAAAAATATTCGTTTAATATTACATATATTTACTGTATACAGTATAATCATATACTATGATCGATATTTATATTGAAATTAAAAGGAAATGTTCTTTTAGATATAAGAAAAATTAAATGTAACTGTCGGTATACCTACAGGCTGTAAATTAGAAACTTACTAATTCAAAAAGAGGTAGCGATGTGTAATATAGTTAAAAGAGAGACAAAAGAAATAATAAGATGATACTTGTGATGCACCGAATAGTTCTTTTTCAGTCAACACACAGGGCTAATGCCGTTTCAAGCACTCAACAATTTCTTTAACACCAAGAGAAGAAAGGACTTTTATTCTGGAAGCGCTGCGTAAACGTATCAGAAAATGAAAATAGTCTTGGTGCTCCGTTTCCTTTGGCCCTGTAAGCATAATAGATTGATTTTCATATTGCATATTATATATGTATGTGTTTCGTAATAATATATATGCGAAATAAATACTTTTCAACGATCACAGCAGGCATCTGAACCAATTGTACAGGACTTTTAGCATCCTTCAAAGCTTGTTGCAAGTTTAAGATCTGACCACGCATTACACTCATTTGTTTATCGAAGAGATGTCGATCGAAACCTTTGTCTTGCTATAAAAATTAATTCTCTTTATTTTCAAATTATAATTGCAAAGTATTAATAGCGATTCGTTAATCGTCAGTTTATGTAACTTACTTTAAATAACTGATACAAGTCGTCGCAAAGATCTTGCACAAAATTCTGATCCGAAAGCTGTGGCAATACAAGCTCTCGCGTTAATTCGCTAAACGGTTGCTTCGCTTGACTTAACCATGCCCAGTGATAAGGATAAGCTCGCCAGGAGTCAGGGTGTTTGAAAGGGAAGGCCAAACCATTGTCGATAGCGGCAATCTTTACTTCACCTTCTTCTTGTCGATTTTTTCCCACACCGCTATCATATTTGATTAGCCAGTTATCGTTTCCTTTAAATAAGATATCAATACTTTTTACCAACTTCAATTTCATATAACATTCGATGAGATTCGATGGATTAATTACCTCTGTCCGTATTTCTAATTATATAGTCCAGAATGACTAAACGTTCGAATTGAAGTTGAAATTCCCTACTAAGCGGCGGCGATAATGGTTCGCTTTCCCATCGTCTTAACCAATAATCAGCATCTTTGTAAGCGTCTACAAACACTTGAAAAGAACCAACTTTTGGTGGCAAACCGATACGATTGAAATGGGAACCCACGGTAGGGAACTGGTCCATAATGGCTTGCTTCATACGGGCTTTTTGACGGTCTAATCGTGGGTAGTTGAATGTTTTACTGACCAGCTTGACTACTCTAGTGTTTGGAACAATACCCAGACCTAATTTTCGGTCAACTAAACTTGCACCAGCTTCGCTGAGATATCCTTGATTTGGGATTAAACAACTTCGCCCAAAACAACAAGGGCAGCAAAGCTTGTGCATCCATTTTGTCCACTTTGGATTCAACCTTCCATATGGTTCTTCATCTTTTGGTTTAAAAACGCCTATTATTTTCTATAAAATAAAATACTAGGTTACTATAATCATCATCATCATCATCATTATCATTATTATATCACAATTCAAATACACTGATTTTTAAATAAAATAACAGAGTTATACCTTACCCCTTGAAGATTTTTTACAAAATAACTGCCGCTAGAACCTTGATATATTCTTTCAGGAGAGATTCCAATATCTATTGCGCATTCAGCCTGCCATACTAATTCAGAAAATTGTGGATCATCTAGAAAGTAATAAACAGATAATAAATAATTGATGCAAGTACATATTAAAAGAAGAAACAACATAGAAATTTGTAACATACCAGGAAAACGATTAAAGGTAACATCAAGCTCTAGTCGACCAAGGAGAGGCTGGCTCTCCCGGTCAGTTCCAGGGGAATCAATGGCTGTAGTTTGTTCGTTGCTTAGGTTGGGAACAAACTCGACGTCTGGTATCAATTCTGAACACTCGTTGTTTACTGGTAAACAATTATTAGACGTAGTTGAGAGATCAACCAATGCATCAGTTTCTACCAAAGCAGAAGTATTAGTATTGTTCTGACTATGATATTCTCGATAAGGCACGTGTAATTGCCGTTGTTCGGAGTCACTCATCACAAACGAATCTGCTACTTAATTGGTAAATTCCTTTACCACTTGGCCGTAAAAAAGATCGTTCGTGAAAATTATTCTATTTCCCCATATTCCTATCGCACCTGTCAATGACGCATACGATCGAATTCGTGTCTTGCAAGTATTTTCACCATTACTAACTCCGATATAATCATTGCGTCATTAGAACAACTTTGTTATTTATCTTACTATTATTAATTCATTAGAACAATCATGGAATAATGGAATATATTTACAGTATTTTGGAGCACTATTTAACCACTTGATAGAACTACGATTCGTCATTCCAGCAGACGATATCAGCTGATAGGATTAACGCCATACTTAATTTCTGCTATGCTGTTTCATATGCTTATATATATAAATTGTATTTTTCCATTTATTCCAAAACTGCATTTTCGTACATACATATATATTGTGTATTTTTTATATGCTGATATTATTCTTACAGATTCTTTCATTAAAATGTATACTCATGTTTATCTAATGGTGTGCACTTCAAACTATATCTAAAAAATGCAACTACTTGTATTAAGTTAACATATAATTTCGTGAATATTATTTTTTGTATACAATAAGAGAAAATATTTTAATTAATTTATGTCAAAATTATTTATAAAATATATAATTACATGTTTCAAAAATTAGTCGGAAAATATGTCGATATTAAAATTATATATACATTTTGGAACTTCAAAAATTGTTTGCGATACACGATGGTATATTTAGAAAATTTGATTTATTATTGATATGTATATTAAAAAAAAGTAAAAAATAATTTGTAAAATTATAAATCCAATACATTTAGCATAGGAATGTCAAGTTAATTTAACCAATTAGCATAACGATCATTTCAAACATTTAATGAATATGAAAAATTTTAAGAATAACGTTAGATATAGCCTCTATAGCATTCATAAACATATCGCAGTCGTGCGTGATACCCGTACCGGCATACGTCGGACGTTTCTTAGCTACAAATATTAGTTACGGGTTTTCTTGAACCTTGTTCGGTTATCAATTTATTGTTCATAATTAATTTCGTGATGTACCTTTCGCACAATTATTTACGTATTTTTCATGATTTAATAATCGAAACGTACTTTTTTTGGAACTTCTTACCTTTATTACTCTTCATCTATCAACTAGTTTGTCACGATCAAATAATTTATAGCTCTTCTATTTCAACATAACGATAAATTAAACTGACTTATTTATTTATTTATTTATTTAATACATTCAAGTATTGCTGTAAATATTTATATATATATATGATAAAAACATATTATATATATATACGTAAAAGAAGAAAATAAATTGTACATAAGAAATTTTAAATCTAATTCTCTCAAAACTCAAAATTCAACTTTGCAATTAATGCATTCTGTAAAGAGCAACATGTTTTTTGTATGTGTAACTGTTGGCCTTGTACTCTTAGCTTCTAAGTACCGCAAAAATGTATTTCAAAGTGTTAAACACCTTTGTCAAAGTATAAAAAACAAGAGTTATGGAAAAAGCGATAAGAAACAAGAACTCAAGATTACATTAGACAAAATCATTTTGGCAGATACTCCAGAAAAATGTGATTACGCCATTCAACGTATTCGCTGGTACGTTATATCTTACTGTTCTGTGCCTTATATGTTCTGTATATTGTGTGTATCAAATACATAGTGCTGCTATATTTACATTTTTTCTATGTTCTGTGTCTGTCTATATAAATACTTTGAACTTATGTACCAACTGTGTTTATGTTTTTTTGTCTTTATTTGTATCATCTTTTTTGTTTTGTAATTTTCTAAAATAATAAAATGTGAAAAAGAACATTCTTTTTAACACTCTTTACAAAATAAATATTTTTTATTTCAAAGCAACTTATCTAATGGTGTATTGGGTTTTGATTGTGAATGGGCCAATGAAGGACCTGTTTGTCTCCTCCAACTTGCTACCTTTAATGGAGTATGTGGTCTTTTCCGCATTGGTAAAATTGGATATATTCCATATAAATTAAAGGTATGTAACTTTTCATAAATAGTATAATTTATAGGAATAATAATGTAAATCTAAAACTGAATATTTTTCAGGAATTATTAGCTAGTAAACATATCCTCAAAGTTGGAGTTGCTTCATATGAAGATGGACAAAAAATAATAACAGATTATGGGTGTAAAGTTTGCGGTACACTTGATTTGAGGACATTGGCAGATCGTGTAAATTTACCATGTCCAAAGAGTTTAGCTGCAATGAGTTTAGAATACTTGGGTTTGGAAATGGATAAATTGATAGAAGTAAGGTGTGGCAATTGGAATGCTGGCACCCTCACTGACGAACAAGTAGCATATGCTGCTTGTGATGCAATTGCGTCTGTTCTTATTTATGACCAGGTAAGAGAAAATACATTTATATTGTTGTTATTAAAATAATAACATTTATATTGTTGCTTTATAGATCGTGCAAAGGATAAAGAAAAAGTATTCTTTATGGCAAAACTTTGTGAATTATATAAAACATGTATGTAACAAAAATGTAAATATGCAGTTTCATTGTTTACCTAGTGGTGTAATTGATACAAGGTAATAAGTTATTTTCTAAATTAAAAGTTACTTGGCTTTTTATAGTTATTATTTGAGACATAAAAAATAATTTTATTCTTTAAGGTTCAAGGCTCAACACACGCACACAAACAGTAATTACAAAAATACGAAATGTAGCAATGTTCACAAAGATAGCAATTATTTAAAAACAAACAATGCTACACATACAAGTAATATACCTATTAGAAATAAACCATTATATCACAACTGCTATTTACAAGCACCAGATGGAGATATATTGTGTACCTGCGATCGTAAAAAGGCAGAATGGTATGTTACTAAAGGATTAGGGAATGTAATTGAAACAGTACCCTTTACCGTGAGGTTAAACTTTGAACCCTCTGGACGTGCTTTGGGTGAGGTTGGACAATATTATACGCAAGTTAAGCTTAATCAATGTGTAGTGTGCGGTACTTCAGAGAAATTCATTAGAAAAAATGTTGTTCCACGAGAATACCGTAAATACTTCCCTGGTGAGTTGTAAATTAAAAATGTATTTTCGCTACATAACACAACATTGATAAAATTATAGATATATACATATTTTCTAGTGGTGATGAAAGCTCATCAATCGCACGATATATTATTATTGTGTCCATCGTGTCATGAAACGAGTAATTGTAATGACCTGCAATTGAGAAAAAAACTTGCAGATATGTGTGATGCTCCTTTAGCTGGCCCATTAACACATACACATAATAAGAATGTAAATAATTGGAGAAAAATGCATTCGGCTGTTAAGGCTTTAAAAGAAAGCACGACTTTACCGGATATAAGGCGTCAAGAACTAGAACATTATATTTTGAAATGTACAAGTCAACAACAAATAACACCTGCTCTTCTCGATGCTTTGAGTAGAGAGTTGAAAAATGCTATGATGTCAGTGTCTAGTCATGATCAGTTTAAATGTCAACCTCATGGTTTAAAGGTACTTTTTAGTAAATAAGTAGCAAAAATGAGATATTTTATGAAACAATTTTAAACATACTTATAAATTTGTCTTTTAGGTGGTTCAGTATTTTCAAAGAAAGGAAGGGGGATTAGTAGAATTGGAACGCATGTGGAGAGAACATTTTCTTTTGACTATGAAACCAAAATATTTGCCAAATTTGTGGTCTGTACGTCATAATCACGAGAGATTGACTATTCGTCAGTCACAAAATAGAATTGAACCGGAAGATGTAAAGGTAGCTGGTTTGGCATACTGAATTTTAAGTATTATGTACCTAAAAGGACTCGTATAAGAGCGAGTACTTGTATTGAAAGACTGTTATATCCCTTAATGCATATATTGATATTCATACAATACACATGTATATATATATATATTTCTATACATATATACATATATAAACACAATGTAAACACACGCATAAGACCTCTGTTTTCATTTGTGAAATTGTTTGGAAATACTGTAATTTGTAAAAAGGTAAAGACTGGTAAACTGTGTATCTCAAATAAAATGTTTTCTTTTATTTCATTATTTTAACCAATAACAAAACAAAATACAGTTCTGATAATCTTGTTGATGGTATATTTCATACTATTCATTTATGATGAAAATATGTCATTAGATGCATATTTACAGGGTTTGGAAATATAATTAAATTAAGCCTATATAAAAATTTATTAAAGTTATTTGGAAACTTCTTGCGTGGTATCTGTTTTTGGAGGAGGAACTTTTATATTTTTTAATTCTTCATCTATACGTTCTTTAGCACGTACAATTTTTGATTGAATATAAAAAGAACCACCTTTAGACCTGTCATTAACTTCCATAAGGTATTTATAGTTCCGTTCAATAGCATCTAATTGCTCCACTTTTTCAACATTCAAAATTTGTAGTGCTTCTTCTAAAGAAATTCCAGTTTTATAATTGGCTGCTACATGTTGAGTACCTCGTGATCCACCACCTGTTTTACGTGCAGCCGCCTGACTAGCAGCAATTTCTTGTCGTAGTGCCCGTGCAAACGCTTTAACAACAACTTGTGTACCCATTACAATTATTTGTACCAAGTGTTTCGCCATAACCTTTTTGTTCAAGTTGAAAATAGTTGTAATAAAACAGTTTTCAAGACACTTTCTTTTTTGTTTTAATTTTTAAAAGATACTTCTTTGAGTAGGTTTCGTTTTCTGTAACATTTAAATAATGACACTACTGATCTTAAATTTTATGAAGGTCTTTTTATATAACCTGCTTCTCACGCGTTTCGAACCTAATGTTGCACCATTTCCGAACGTGCTTACATCTTACAACTATATTTTATTATGTATTATACCTACCTTGATAAAAAAAACATTGACAAATGCTGTTTCAAACCTTTACGCAATATAATGAGTATATTTATTAAGAATTTAAAGACATTACGTATACTTATTCATAATTTTGTAAAAGTAATGCAAGTATATAAAATTATGATTTATAAAAAATGGACCAGTATAGGTATTCAATTATAATTTATACACTGTTAATTGAGTATCATATATTTTTACAATTGCGTTTATTTTGTATGGCATTTGATTGAGTTTCTTTTATACATAATATTTATGTGTCCTTAAGAATATGTTAGGTTAGAAAGAATAAATGTAATATATTCATACAATGCATGTATAAATACAGATCTAAAAAGTTTTCCTTGGACGAAAAGTGTTAAAGGTCATAAAATCTTCTTATAAATATTCATTAATATTCTATTCAAAAAGTTATTGATATAACAGTTTATAATTATTCTTAATTTCGTTAATAAATAACTTTATTTACACTCTGTTGGTCAACTTTAATATTAGGTGAGATAGAATCTGTTTCTAAACTTTCTCTTAAATTAAAGTAAAAACATTCATTTTATCAATGCACTCTGAACATCAAATATAGACTCAGTCAGGTATCGGTAGTGTATTAAAGTATTTTAATGCATTGACTGCAGAAGAAAGCACTAGATTGTAAACAGGATGAATTATTTCCACTAAATTTAAATTAGGCGATCCAATGATCACTTGCCTTGGAGAGTTTTGTGCAACTGACAATCCACTAAGCGCATAACAAGTATGATATATATCTCGAATTCTGAAATAAATAAACAAAATTTATGAAATTATTAGTATTTAACTATAATATAATATTACATACTTTTCAGGTTTATCCAAAAGACCTCCATGGGGATGTTGACAGCAAATTAATAAATACTCTTGTAAGGCCTCTTGATTGAATAACCAATAATCAGAATTAAATGTTTTTTCTTCTTTTGCTAAAATTGCATGAATTAGTGGGAAAGCTCCACCCTGCCAAAATGAATAGCAACCATCCACTAATTTATTAGTACGTCCTTGAAATCCACCTTCTAGACGCATTTGTTTATTCACTATCCATCTCTGAAAGTAATATAAATAGACATATATGAATATAAACTTTTATAACACACGTTAATAAATATATAATATAAAATGTACCAATAATGATTTTAAAGAACAGAAGTGAGTTTTTCCAAGAAGTACAAGTGCTGCTAATGCACAGAATGCGTATCCTCCATGGGCTTCCATACCAGGACAACCCCCAAAACCACCTTCCCAAGTCTGACACTTAGCTATCCAATTTTCAGTTCCTTTGAATATTTCAGGAGTATATACATTTATTAATTTTGCTACAGCAAGTGCACAATATACTCCCCTTATGTCTACTTCTCCATCCGCGTGCATGCTAAAAGAACCATCTTCTCCACGTAAAGATGATAAAAATCGTTTAAGTCCCTTTCTAAAATCAATAAACATTACTATTAATAATCTTGAAACTGTAACATTGTTTAAACTTCTTATTGCTATTAAATATACCTGTCAATTACTTGGTAAGCTGAAGGGGTACCAATGATGCATAATGCATTTATTGCTGCATATGTAGGAGCCAAATGAGGATGTTGTCCTGGACCTCCTCCAAAACCTCCTTCTGTTGATTGACACTTGGCTAAGAAGCCAATAATTTTTGAAGATTCATCATGATCTAAACGTTCTCCCAAAATTTGAAGAGAATGTAAAATCCAATAACATAACCATGGTCTACTGCAATCTAAACACTGAAAAGCAAATAATATATGCATATAGTATAAAAAACAAAGACATAAATCTGATAAAATTGAATAATTTACAATTGCACCTCATATGCTTCATTAAGATGGGTCAAAGATTTTTTTAATAGCCCAATGTGCTTTTGTCTTGTCAAAATTGGCTCATTATTTAACTTATACAATTTAAGTACATCATTTTCCACTCGATTCTGTAAACAAAATATTTGGAAATAGTAAGAAAGAATCAAACAACAGAACTATACAGGTTACTTGTTTTTATAAACATAAATAGCCTACCTGTTTGAGAGAAGTTGCAGTTGGGTGGTTTTCGTCATCCTGCTTTTGTTCTAGTATTTCGGCGTAACTTCTAATGCGTGATTCATCAAGTTCATTATACATTGAATTCCACATAATCTATTGAACATACGGTTTGTTATATTAGCAACTGAAATAAATAAATTTAAACTGCGCTCAAAAAATACGAATTTACTACGCGAGATTTTAAGTGAGAAAACGACAAAAGAAACTGTTTCTTTTGTCACCTCTTTATGCGGTAAAATTCCATTTCATGACGCAAGTTTATATTTTAAATTAAATTTCATAGTGTTACTATAATCATATCACTTTCACAGTGAATATATAATAATTACTTTAAGGTTATGAGGAGCCTTCTTATTAGTAGCAGTGACTATACATGCAAAAAGACTATACATGGCTTAGTTCACGAGTGTTCAACACTTTGGGGTTCCAGACAACCCCAGTTGCCAATCCCTCCTCTATCGCAAGTCATTTATTATTTTATCTCTCTTCATGGTTTCACGGGGCTCTACCTTATATCTCTGCATCCGTTACATCTCTGCATCCCTTATATCTCTGCATCCCTTACATCACTGCAACCCTTATATCTCTGCAACCCTTACATCTCTGCATCCCTTTATCTCTGCAACCCTTACATCTCTGCATCCCTTTAACTCTGCAACCCTTACATCTCTGCATCCCTCACATCTCTGCATCCCTCACATCTCTGCAATCCTTACATCTCTGCATCCCTTTATCTCTGCAACCCTTACATCTCTGCATCCCTTACATCTCTGCAACCCTTATATCTCTGCAACCCTTATATCTCTGCAACCCTTATATCTCTGCGTCCCTAACATCTCTGCATCCCTCACATCTCTGCACCCCTTACATCTCTGCAACCCTTACATCTCCCTACATTCTTTTTATCCATACATTCTTTCCATCCCTACATTCCTTTTATCCCTACATTCCTTTCATCCCTACATTCCTTACATCTCTGCATCCCTTATAATAAATATATTATAAAGACTGTTTCGAGTTAAGGTAAGTAAAGGTAAGTAAAGGTAAGTTAGTTCCTTTTTTCGCCGCCAGAGGGCGCTGTTCCGGTGTTGAGATTTTAGTTCACATTTTTGCCGCCAGAGGGCCAAAAATGGTACCTGGTTTAGTTCCTTTTTCCAAAACCAGATGGCGCTGATCGGACGTCGAGATTTTAGTTCACATTTTTGCCGCCAGAGGGCCAAAAATGGTACCTGGTTTAGTTCCTTTTTCCAAAACCAGATGGCGCTGATCGGACGTCGAGATTTTAGTTCACATTTTTGCCGCCAGAGGGCCAAAAATGATACCTGGTTTAGTTTCTTTTTCCAAAACCAGATGGCGCTGAACGGACGTCGAGATTTTAGTTCACATTTTTGCCGCCAGAGGGCCAAAAATGGTGCATGGTTTAGTTCCTTTTTCCGAAATCAGGTGGCGCTGATCGGACATCGAAATTTTAGTTCACATTTTTGCCGCCAGAGGGCCAAAATTTATGCAAAATTTAGTTCCTTTTTGCATTGCAAGTATGTCAGGGTTGAATAGATATACAGAGTTCAAGGATGTAAGGAATAGAGAGGTGTAAGAGATGCAAGGACATCTAAGGGATGCAGGGAGATAAGGGTTGCTGGGATGTAAAAAGTGCAGGTATGTAAGGGATGTATAAACGGTTGCAGAGATGTAAGGGATGTATAAAGGGTTGCAGAGATGTAAGGGATGTATAATGGGTTGCAGAGATGTAAGGGATGTATAAAGGGTTGCAGAGATGTAAGGGATGTATAAAGGGTTGCAGAGATGTAGGGGATGTAAGATGGGTTGCAGAGATGTAAGGGATGTATAAAGGGTTGCAGAGATGTAGGGGATGTAAAAAGGGTTGCAGAGATGTAAGGGAGGGCCTCAAAGACAAGAAAATATGATATAACTGGGAAGGGTGAGCCGTGACCCATGAAGAGGGATAAAATAGTAAATGACTAGGGTGGGTGTTCCCTGCGAGGCCCACAAATACGGGTAAAATAATGAATAAAGGAATTAAATAGGCAAGGCACACAAGTGTAATAAAAGAACACGTTCATCCTCTTAATAAGTTTATTGAAGGAGTTAAGAAGATAAATATAGTAAATTAAATACATGCAGAAGATAAAATAAAGGTGTATGTATATTTAACAGGTAGATCCGCGCTCCTTGGTGGTCGCTGTAAGACTGAGGGGGGTTTCACTTTGCTCTGCGGTTGACAGCGGTGTCGATCAGCCATGGCGTTTCCCTTCGCCGCCGCAAATCAGTGGATGGAATCAGTTTCCCCTTCGCTGGCTTAGACCATCATGTGCCCTAGAGGGACGCCGAACCTGTACTTTGAGAAATAGGGATTTTCAAGTATCACCATCAATGTGATTCGACCAATGAGAAATTTGTAATGTTTATATCTAGACTATGTGGTTTTACCTTTAGAGTTGTATGTCTATCATGTTGTTTCATAATTCCTCCCATTCAAGCAGTTTTTGCAATTTCGAGAAAGAAGTACCTGGACTTGTAACCGCTTTTTTTACCGCTAAAGGATTAACTACAGCATTTATGTAAACGTAATTGACCAAAAACCTTATCAGTCGTGCGAATATATCCTTCTAAATGTAACTTATCGTTGTTTTACGTTCGGTACTATCAAAAGCACGATGCTTCGTCGATGTGATTAAAACCACGTGCTTTGGGAGGCCGATCGTTTTTGTGAAAAATGGCTCAACTGTAAGAACTTTTCTTAAATAAAATTGTTGCTGTTAGTAGTAATTAATTTAATAGCTTTTCTGTTCATAGAAGAGGCGATTACGCTTAATCATTTGTAGGTAGAGAACGTTGATCAAGGAACAAGAATCTTTTCCATCGTCGGACAAAAAAGGCATGCTCAGGAAAAATGACGGAATTTGTAGATGGCTGGATATTTGGGCACACTTTGGGAGAAGGTGCTTATGGCGAGTACGTTTGAACATATTTAATTTATGCAATTAATTAACAACAATATGTATAAATATTAAAAATTTTTGTAAAAATTTTTCAGAGTAAAACTAGTTATAAATAAATCTTCAGGTGAAGCTGTTGCCATGAAAATGATAGATTTAGCAAAACATCCAGATGCCCGACAAACAGTTAAAAAAGAAACTACTATTCATCGTACACTATCTAATCCCAATATCATACAGTATTTTGGGAAACGTAGTGAACCCAGTATGGAATATATTTTTTTAGAATATGCTTCAGGAGGAGAACTTTTTGATAGGATTGGTAAGACAAAGTTACTGATATTTCAAATAAAGGTTTAGAAATTATTGTATGATTAATAAAATTAAATTTAATGTTCAAAATAGAACCAGATGTTGGTATGCCAGTTTGGGAAGCACAAAAGTATTTCAAACAATTAATATCTGCAGTAGAATATCTTCATAGTAAGGGTATTGCACACAGAGATTTAAAGCCAGAGAACTTACTGTTAGATGAAAATGATAATTTAAAAGTCTCAGATTTTGGTTTGGCTACAATATATCGTTTCCGAGGCAAAGAACGTTGTTTGGAAAAAAGATGTGGAACATTGCCTTATGTAGCTCCAGAAGTATTACTACATCCTTATCATGCTGAACCTGCTGATATATGGTCTTGTGGTATAATTCTTGTAGCTTTGCTGGCTGGAGGTAATCAATTTTTAAAGAGATACGCACATATCGTTAAAAGATATAATTTATTTTGTATGTACTTGTTCGAGACTTTCAGGTGTAAGACATTTTCTTCTAGAATGAAGTCTAGAATAATGAAGCCAACTGCATCGTTAGCAAAGCTCACGTTAAAGCCTCGAACAAGAACAACTTTCGGATACCGAAGATTATGAAAATTGTAAAACTATTTCACACGTGTAACTTTTATTTTAATGATAAATTGAAGCAGTTTTAATCGAAAAATTAAAAAGCAAGTTTATATCATCTAACTTTTCAAACATAATTGTAAAATATAGATTATTGTGATCTTTAGTCAGATGGTTTAGGTCTAATCCATAACTTACATTTCTTAGTTTTTAACTGGTCCATGTCTAAACTGTAGAACTGCCTTGGGATCAGTCCTTGGCAGAGTGTCCAGAATATATGGCATGGAGAGATGGAAAATACATGTCTCTTACACCATGGAAAAAGTTGGACAATTCTTCATTGTCTCTGATTAAAAATATTCTTATACACTCACCATCAGCCAGATGTACCATAAAGGATATTAAACAACATAGATGGTTCATCAAGAAATTCCAGAGAGGTATGTCTTATTTTATGCACACGAAAAGTTTTAGTATTTTCAAATATAATAGCAATTTTAATAAAATTCCAGATAAAATTAAAGAAGTATTTACTTAGTCAGGTACTGAGTGACTCTGAGTACGTACATTAAATTACTCAAAGCAGCTTGGTATCTAACTGAGTGGATATTGAAAGCAACAAGTTTTTGAGGTACTTTTAAGTATGGTACAAACTACACTTTTATTTTCGATTATTACATATTAAATTGAAAAATTAGAAGTTGGTGAAAGTTATAATCAAAGCTTTTGCCTTTACTTTGGTAATACAGCTCTATGATTTTAATTAAGGATCATAAAGCTAGATTACCAAAGCAAAGAGCACTGGCATATGCAGCTAAAGTATTAAAAATTTTAGTTAATGTGAAAATGAATTTTCTAATTACAAATAAATGTAAAATGTTTCAATTTTTTAATAATATTTTAAATACTCTTTTCATCACAGCGGGAACTATAGAAGGATATATTCGACCCGATGAGACTGATTCAAGACAGGTGTTAGAAGATGAAAACTTAACAAGGTTTGGTTTATCGCAACCTGAATTACCTACGACAGAAAATGCTAATGCTGTACAAATTAATTTGGATGAACGGCAAGGATTTTCATTTTCACAACCTGCCCATATTGAGGATCTGTTATTATGCACCCAAGTACAAACTAAATTTACACAAGCAAGCCAGGTTAGTAAATGTTTTTACGCAATTACTAGCTTATGATTAAGTTAATGCATAATTTGTCACACTATTCATAATTTAATTTTATATTTTCAGCAAAATACTTTCCAACGACTGGTACGGCGTATGACAAGATTTTTTGTTAAAACGGAGTTAGAAGCGACTGTAAAAAGATTATTAAATTGCCTAAAGAATGAAAGTTATACCTGTCGTGTTAATAATTTTGGCACAGTAAGTTGTAAAATAATTGTTTATGGTGATATTAGCTTCTGTTAATAAATATCAAACTGTAATTATCTTTGTAGATTACCATATCAACTATGGATAGAAGAAAAATGCCTTTGGTTTTTAAAGCAAATATTGTTGAAATGGATGGAAAAATATTAGTTGATTTCCGATTGTCTAAAGGCTGTGGTATTGAATTTAAGCGGAGATTTGTCAAAATTAAATCATTGTTAGAAGATATTATATTAAAGGGTCCTGTTACATGGCCTATTGCTGTGGCAACAGAATGCATACCCTAATAATGATGTATACAATTAAATTTTAAATAAATATTTTATATTCTTTTAAAAAAATCATTTTTATACTTTATTTTTTTATACATGATGGTTTGTAAAATTTTATCAATGTTAGTGAAATTACTAAGTACATATTGTCAGATTTTTATTAATAATAAAGTGATTTTATGCCACCAACATACGCATTTATGAATTTTATTAGTTCCTATACATTATAGTTGAATATTTTACAAAAGTTCTCGTAAAATAATCACGTTTTTCATTCTAAAAGATAGTCGATGAAATGCTGTGTATTATATTTAAATACATTAACCACAATTTAACCTCAATTTTGGATTGTTATCCAAATGATATTCCTACAATTTATCACATTTACATTTACCAGTTTAATGGTATTTATGTTTTCTAGTTATCTTAATTTCGTATACTTCTTCGATAATTATAAGAATTGGTTTTATAACGATATTAATGACTTTGAAATTTATGATTACATTGTCGGTAAGTTCGCCATATATTTTTTATATTCTGTAATAAAATTTTTATGTTTAACAAGTATAGTCTTACAAAGATACTTTGTAAAAACTAATAACTGTATACAGTTGGAGCTGGTAGTGCAGGTGCAACTTTATCTGCAAAGCTAGCAAAATATGGATACAAAGTATTATTACTTGAGGCTGGAGGGTTTGCACCACCCTTTATGGATATTCCACTTTTAGCTCCTCTAATACAGAATACTCCTTATGATTGGAAGTACACTACTGTACCTCAAGATAATGCTTGCAAAAGTTTAAAGAATAATGTAATTATCAACTATAAATATTGTTTAATTAGATTTGTCATTGAAAATTTATTTGTAGAAAAGTAAATGGCCAATGGGTAAACTTCTTGGTGGAACAAGTCAGTTAAATTATATGCTTTATGTAAGAGGTCATCCTTCAGATTACAATGAATGGTTTCCAGATTTTATTGGTAATATTCAAAATTTATTACCTTCTATTTTAATTGATATTATAAGTTGGAAATTATTATAGAACCTACTGTAGAAAATGGTGGACCAATGCATATAAGTGATTTACAATGGAATACTGATCTTGCTAATGTAATTTTAGAGGGATTAAAAGAATTGAATCAGGACATTGGCAATATCAATAATGATTTAAAAAATGGTAATTATTATATTACACATAAAAAAATATTATAACTTGATATGCTATTGATTTAGGTTTCATGAAACCACAGTTATCCATAAGAAATGGAAAAAGATGGAGCACAGACAAATTACTGTATGAAAATTTTAGAGATAAATTGTTTATTAGAACTTATGCTCATGTTGAAAAGGTATGTTTAAAATCTGTAGGAATGTTACTTGTTTATATAACCACAGTTTCTTTAAAGGTATTAATGGAGTCAAATAGAGCAATGGGAGTACAATTTATTAGATCAAATAAGACATTTAAAATATTTGCAAAACATGGTGTTATTCTTAGTGCCGGTGCAATTGGTACTCCAAAAATATTAATGTTATCTGGTATTGGTCCAAAAGATCATTTGCAAAATTTAAAAGTACATTTTGTTTTCCTAATATTGATTTTTAATATTTACATTTGATATTCTTTATAACAATGTAATAATTTACATATTTCAGATAAATGTTATTAATGATTTACCAGTTGGTCAATATTTAGTGGACCATATACTTACTGGAATTGATTTAATTATGCTGAATAAAAGCATAGGTTTTAACATGTTTAATGCTTTGAATCCTATATCAGCAATAAATTATTTTTTGTATGGAAAGGGTAAATTTTCTTTTTAAAATAAAAAAAACTTACAGTTCATTTAAATAAGTAATCATGTTTTATATAATTTAGGTCCTTGGACATTTACTGGAGTTGAAGTTTTAGGAACATTTCATAGTTCTTTTCAGAAAGGTAATTTAAGTGCACCAGATTTGCAGATAATGGTAATGCCAATGGGATTGTCAAAGGATAATGGTATTGTTTTAAGGAAGTCTATGGGAATTTCTGATAAGGTGTATACTAACAAATTATTAATGATATAAATTTGAAAGAACATCTACTAATATATTTGAACACTAGTTTTATATGTATTGTTTTATAGGTTTATAATGAATATTTTGCACCTATTTCAAACAAGAATACAATAACCATTGCTCCCGTCTTATTACATCCGAAAAGTAAAGGAGAAATTAAATTAAATAGTAACGATCCTTTAGATCCACCTTTAATTGATCCAAAATATTTATCAAATAAAGATGACATTGCAATTCTCATGGCTGGTAATATTACCGAAGTTTTATACAATTATATGAATTATCATATATTTATGATGAAATTATACACGCATTAAACTTTATAGGATTACAATTTGTAAAAAACCTTGTTGGAACAGATGCCATGAAAAGTATTGGTGCATCTATTTATGAAAAACATTTTCCTGGTTGTGAAAATGAAATATTTGATAGTACAAAATATTGGGAATGTTATATACAACATTTAACTTTAACTTCGTATCATCCTGCCGGTACATGTCGTATGGGCGACGTTGTCGATCAAATGTATAGGTAATTAAGCAGTTTTAAATATATAATTATGTTTTTTTATAAATAATATAAAAAGTACTTTTTGTAGAGTTTATAATACAAAAGATTTGTACATAGTCGATGCATCTATACTTCCAGTTTTACCAAGTGGTAATATTAATGCCGCAGTTATAATGCTTGCCGAAAAAGCAGCGCGTATAATTAAACAGAACACAAAAATTGAAATAGACAACAAAAAATGTTATAAACCTCGTGACTATTACCACATAATTAAAGACTAACATAATATATGGAAGAAAGATGTAATTTAATTAACTTTAATTTATTGCTATTTTTGTACACGAATTATAAAATAAAATAGATTCCTTTTATAAATTAATTACAAATTTATCAGGGTAGTATAAAATATAAAGTTGTACAAATATTATCTTTTAAATAGAACTTTGTAAATTTAAATCACTGAAGTTGCACAAATGCACATTAATTTAAACATTTATAACAATAGAAATTATTATATTCCTTATTCGTTTCTGTATTCGAAAAATATTAACGATAATCACGCCTATTGCGTTTATAATCACGTCTAGAATAGTCATTTGATCTGTGATTACTATAATTACTTTTAGACCTATGATCTGTATAGCGGCTATCATTTTGAGTTTGTTTTCTATGATATGGATGTGCGCGTCGCGACATTCTATCATCTTTATAAGTGTCTATTTTTTTCGTATGTAAAACTGTGTTTGATGACATGTTTGTTTGAAATGAGTCTGATTGTATCTGATACATAGTATTTCCTAACACCATTTGTTGGCCTAACTGAAGCAAATGATTAATATTCATAAAATGATCTGGTGTATTATTAATAAGTGGTAATTCTGCATTTTTCCTGGTGCTCATACTAAGGGGACGATTGAATAGTACTGTTCCATCAAATAGATTTAAAGCATACGATACAGAATCAATATGTTTATAAGTTATAAATCCATAAGATCTTTGCCTGCCATCACGATCTTTAGGAATAGAAACTCTTTGTACGGGACCACCCTATAACATTGTAAAAAACATTATTGTACAAAAATATATTAATTTTGAAAACAAATTTTGCAAACATTGATAACTTAAATGTAATGTACAACATAAACATATGCATTATTTATTATTAAACACAACAATTCAATTTAAATGTCTGCAAAATGTTTATTCAGATTGTGGTTATGTATATCCATAATATACGAACCTGTAAAAATAATTCATACAGAATTTCTTCTGTTACTTTCTCACTTAAATTTCCACACCAAACTGTACGAATATCTTCATCCATGATAATAAAATAAAACGGAAAGCAAATATTGTATGCAATATTTATGAAATTAATTTACTCAAAACATTGAAACGGATATCAATAACTACAAACCAAGAAGAGTGGACATGTCGTTGTTCTCGAAGGGCCCTGGCTTCCGGGGTCCTAGACACCCCAGGATGATTGGCGCTTCGGGGTCCCTGAAACCCCAGAGAATATCATGTCGGTATGCAAAGAGTATTACCTGTGCTTCGGGGTCTTAGATACCCCAGGATGATATACCGGTATGCATAAAATATCACCTGTACTTCGGGGTCCTAGACACCCCAGGATGGTATGCCGGTATGCAGATAGAATCACTGGTGCTTCGGGGTCCCTGAAACCCCAGAGAATATCATGTCGGTATGTAAAGAGTATTACCTATGTTTGGGGTCTTAGATACCCCAGGATGATATATCGATATGCATAAAGTATTACCTGTACTTCGGGGTCCTAGACACCCCAAGATGTTATATTGGTACGTAGGGAGAATTGCCGGCGCATCGGGGTCCCTGAAACCCCAGGATATCAGGTCGGTATGCAAAGTGCCATTGGGGTCCCAGACACCCCATATGATGTGTCAGTGTGCAGAGAAACTCACCGGTGCTCCGGGGTCCCTGAAACCCCAAAATGTCAAGTCATTATGCATAGAGTGCCACCGTTGCAGTGGGGTCCTTGATACCCCGGACAATGTCGATATGCAGAGGGAGTCATTGGCGCAGCGGGGTCCCTGACACCCCAGATGAAGATAAAATCAGGTCCATATGAAGAGGACACAACTGTTAATTAACGAGGCAATTCAGATGAATAGATTACTTATGGTTGTATTTTAAGAAAAAACATTTGGCGGTAACATATATGTACATATATTATCAATAAAATATTTTATAAAACACCTTTCTTTTTAATTAAAACAAATGTGTGTTACTAACAAAAAATGATTTATTTCACCAATTTACACCAAATAAGTATCTATAAATTTATAATAATTAATGATGTATTACTTTGATATATTTCGATAGGAGTGTATTAAATTTATTATTAATAAAATATAAGTTTTTGAGATTTACGAAAAATTTAAAACATTAAAGTTAAACTTATAATGGCTTCAAAATTGAATCAGTGTTCTGACTATCAGATAATAGATCTACTATCAAATTCAGATGAAGAGGAACCTATAAATACAATAGTAAATAATTTACCTAAGAAGAAAAATATCGAAGTACAAAACATGGTAAAAAAAAATATGTTAAAAGTAACTTTAAATAAAGAAGGTGCGAGCCTGTTGAGTCCTGCTAAGCATGTTTTACCAAAATGCGATACTTTAAAGAATGAAGATGTTTCAATTAAACTTAAGTTAAGACGATCTACAGAACAAAGTTTGTATAAAATTGATACAGATTCTGAATGTGAGAAGCTTACAACAAGTAAATCTTATGACAAGTTTTTAAAACAAAAGAAGATAAGTCACTTAGAGTTAAAAGTTACAGAATCTTACAATGAGAATAAAGATGATTCTGATGAAGAAGTTGATATAAATGATAAGAATAAATTAAAAGTGAAACAAAATGAAACTGAAGTATCCAGAGGTACTAGAAATAGAAGGCCACCATCCAGATTTTCTGCTTATCAATGTGATATATTACCTGTGGTAAGATCTTCCCCATCTTTGAGAAGAAGAAAAACCATTAATTATAATGAAGATAAATTACTTGTTAATTCTATTATATCAAACATGGAAACAGGGAAAAAAGTATTAAGATTAAAGGAAAATAAAGAGTCAGGTATTGCTTCTGATAGTCATAATTCAAAAGATGAATCATTAAATTCAAATACAAGGAACAATAAACGGCATCACATTTCTTCTATAAAAGATAACGAATATGATAGCAATCCAAAAGATGTGAAAATAGTAAAAGTGAAGTCAATAACAAAACCTGATATTTCTAAAAAAAATATAAAAAGTATGTCCAATTATTCTCCAGAAAGAAAGGAGAACACAGAAAAATCAGATTTATCAATACCAATATGTAATACTCCTACTCCTGTTAAGGCAAATAACCAAAAGAGAATGATTTCTGAGAGTAAACAGAAAAACATTCAATATATTAACAATAATAAAGATAACAGTGAAGAAGAACATTTAGCTGATATGTACAAACGTATTAAAATTTCATCAGCAGTTAAAACTCCAACTAGTACAAATAAGAAAAAGAGAATGGTTACTGAAGAGGTGTCTACTGAATGGTTTGCTAATACACCTAGATATAACAAAGTTTTGTCAGTAAAAAAAAATATTCTAACACCACAGAACCAAAATAATGTACAAATAAGTATAGAATCTCGTTTAGAAGAAACTCATTTGAGTACTCCAAAATCGCGTTCAATAAAATATAGTAATTTAACACCATCAATGCGGAAAAGAAGTGGCTTTTTATCAAAGCCAACCACACCGTTGCAAGAAGCTAGATCTAGATTACATGTTTGTTCTATACCTAAGTCGTTGCCTTGTAGGGAAGAGGAGTTCAATAATATTTTTACATTTCTCAGAGGAAAATTGGAAGATAAAAGTGGGGGGTATGTTGAAAGAAGAAAAAAAAAATACACATACACTTGTTAAATGCACCTAATACATTGAAAATATTTACAGATGCATATATATAAGCGGAGTACCAGGGACAGGTAAAACTGCAACTGTAAATGAAGCTGTGAGATGCTTGCAGAAATTGAACAGTAAAGGCCAGTTAGATGATTTTAATTACATTGCAATCAATGGTATGAAACTGACAGAGCCAAGACAGGCTTATGTACAAATTTTAAAACAGTTGGACGGTAAAATAGTTACTTGGGAGCAAGCATATCACATACTTGATAAAAGATTTCATAGGACCAATTCCAAGATGACATTACTTCTTGTAGATGAAGTATGATTGGTTTACATCTTTGATGTATTTACTTTTATTACTTATTACTAATACTGTTGCATTATTGTAGCTCGATTTTTTGTGTACAAAACGACAGGATGTTATATACAATTTACTAGATTGGCCAACAAAGGCAACAGCACAATTAGTTGTTATTACTATAGCTAATACTATGGATTTACCTGAGAGAGTTTTAATGGGACGTGTTACATCTCGTTTAGGCCTAACGCGATTAACATTTCAACCATACAATTACAAGCAGTTACAAGAAATAGTGATGTCCAGGCTTAAAGATTTTAACGGTTTTCGAAGCGAAGCTGTACAACTCGTTGCACGGTACTGTAACAATTATACTTTAAGATTTTTATTAAACGCAGTTCATTATGGTTTATAACAATTTTACATGAACAAATGTTTTATTTTAGAAAAGTTTCTGCTGTATCCGGAGATGCTAGACGAGCTCTAGATATATGTCGTCGTGCTATGGAAATCGCAGAATCACGAAATGCCGAAACTATTTCTCTTCAAGATGTAACCGAGGCTGTATCTGAAATGATCGCATCAGCTAAAGTTCAAGCTATTAAACATTGTTCGAAAATAGAGCAGATATTTTTACAAGCAGTATCAGCTGAAGTTACACGGACTTCCGTAGAGGAAGTATATTTTAAGGATGCATATTATCAGCTTGAATCGTTGTGTTCTTTTGATGGTTCGCTTATTCGTTTCATTAAAAAAAATAAAAATAAAAATGTAATGTTATCGCAATTATATTAATTATTTCTGTTTTAGGCATAGAAGTACCTACTGTGACAGAAACGCTCGCTGTTTGCGCGAGATTGGGCGCTAGTAGATTATTAATATGCGAACACTCAAAAAACGATATATACCAAAAACTTTTGTTGAATGTCTCCGTAGACGACGTTCACTATGCGCTACACGAACTAAATTCACATTTGGTGTGCGACTAGTGTGGTCTAAGCAGTGTCTTAAGTATGCTAGATAATTTTTACAATGATATTTTTATATTAGTTTGTAATTTACATCAGTGAATCGTATAACATATAGTGTTTACTAATTGATGAAATCGTGTAATGAAACGATACATTTTTTAATTTATTAATATACAAGCTTATTTATAAATGCGCTTTAGTAATATCGACATTATTATCAATATATATTGGTGAATTTCGTAACTTAAATATCTCGCATGAAAATTTTACTGTGTATTATTAAACAATGTGCAATTACACATCTAAAATGGTACACGTCCAACATCTTAACGAAGATGTTGAGAAAGAAATTCTTATGTTTTACAAAGAACAAAAGTGGCAGGATATTGTTAATTTAGATTGCACTTTAAGTGAATTAGACAAAAGCAGATTGTTTTGGGTATTACCCACTACCAACGATTTACATTGGATTAAAGAAGTAATTGATGAATACAATTTAGTTGGATTAATAAGTATAGGATGCGGATGTGGATTGTTCGAATGGTTGTTTCAAAAGTATTCCGGTAAGTTTTTAATATTAAATATTTATACACGTGTCGCATTACGTAAAAGTTCCATTTATAAGTTTTTGTTAGTCGTTCCCGTTTTAGTACTTAATTCTTTGTTCAAGGTTTCGATGTAATTGGCATAGAGCTAGATCATTCGTGGTGGCGTAGCAAATACTCTCCACCTTTATTTTTAGAAAATATGATTTTCGTTCATGAAAGCGATACAAAAATTTCTCTACCAAACAATTACGCTCTCCTTTTTTGTTATTTCAACAACGGCCCAGCATTTTGGAATTATATTGAGAATTATAAAGGAAATCTCGTTTTTATTATTGGACCCAAAGATGGTGAAAATCGATGGACAGATCCGATGCCTTTCGATCAAAAATTTAACGAATACGGCTGGAAGTTAATAAGTTATAAATACTTAGAACGAACAAATGATTGTATCGCAGTTTATAGGAAATAATTTCCATTAATGATCACTGTATAAATATTTGTAAAAAATACACCGGAGAAAATATTGTATCGATCAAGTTACGTTTTCAATGCAAACAATGAAATAAATAAATAAATATTTTGTAAAATAATGTTGTGTTTCGAAAAATATAATTTTAAATTCCGTTTTGAAGTTGTCTTCGGTAATCGCACTACTGTTATTCGATTGTCGAACTATCATCACTGACTGCAGGTACGAAGAGTGCATATGCTTTGTTCTCGACGGTCGTCCCTGTTTTACCACTCCTTCTTCTAACCATACCTCGTATTCATAACTAAAAAGAAACGTTTCTACGTTTCAGAAATTAATTAAAATCAGCACAAGACAGAAAGATTATTAAAGTAATTGTTTAATAAACTTTAAAAAAAAATATACATACCTCCTTCTTGAAGTCGGATAAAAAAGATACTAAGTCGCTGAGTAGTTTAAACCGTTTGTGTATAGATGACGCCCCGCCGAGAATCGAAAGCACAGCGACCTACCCCTCCGACGTCCGAAGATAGACTGACGCGCTCAGCTTCAACGCCAAGCGAATCAAATTCGATCTCAGCGCCATCTATACAAAAATGGCGGAACTACGCAACAACTTTCCGACTAACTATCTGACGTCACTGCTAACGCTAACATCAAATAATATTGATGGTCGAAAGAGTTTCTAATCCGGTTAAATACTTTGAATTTAAGTGTCAATATTATTAATGCTAATAACTGTGATTACTATATTCATCATTTAAAAACATGTCAGCGAAAAATGATGTTAATTCTTTGAAGGATCAAAATGAAAAGAATAAGCATAAAGTACATTGTACGTTTTGTCCGTCAAAGATGCTGAACGCTGGTGCGGCCCGACTAGTAAATATTGAGGTAATTTATTAAATTCATAATGAAGAATATATACAAGTATTGGGCAAATTATCTTTACGCATAGTACAGTAGTTTGAATAACAAATATAAATTAACGTTTACAATCGATATCAAACTTAACCTTAAAAGATGTTTATTTTGTGATTCTTTATTAATTAAATTTCTTTGTAATTATTAGAATAAAGCTCAAAGTACATCATTAAAGAAGTAGAATGTAAGTAAACTAAAGTGCATAATATTTTAGTTTAATCTACCGTATATACACCGTAAAGGAGAAGGTGAAGCTGATCAGCAGGAATTGATAACAGATTATTGGTTGGTGGAAGATATGTACACATTTGAAAATATTGGAGTGTCTCATACGGTAGACAACATAAAATATTTAGCATGTGCAGATTGTGAAAGAGGTCCTGTTGGATGGCATGATCTATCTACTAAGAAGTCATACATTGCATTAAGTAGAGTTAAGCACGAATGATTTATAAATAAAGTTATTTTTTAATTTTATATGAACCATGGCTTGACTTTTCTTTTCCCCTAAGATGTCACATTAACAGAGACAGAAAAAGATCTTGAGGAGTTCAGAGGTAGAATGCACATTGCTGTTTAAGTTGATAATTTAATATTTAATCACGTACGTTACAAACACAGCCGATAAATCAGATAATCAATCGTCGTTACGATATAATAATTAATAAATTACGCTTACGATTAGAAATGGTTGATCAATGTACTTAATACGTATACATTCCTGTGAATCAACTTTATCATAATGTATTTCATGTTTACGTCGCGACTGATTGGTCGCGAAAACGTTTATGCACTGTGCATAATTACTTTATGTGACGTGTTCAACGCGTGGATAATATCTAAGTGTACATACTTATACGTGTATTTGTACATGGATATAAATCAATGCTTTTTTTTTATTTAAATGATATCGACATTTGAATTTCGCCTCTTCGATGTATTTGAGAGAATATTAATAAGAAACAATCATTTTCATTAAAGCCTCATTGTAGATTAAATTAGTTCTTTAACAGATGCGATACTTTTTCTTTGAGACCAGAGTAATTTCTATGGCACTGTGTTTAATCGATATTTTATTTCTTCGGTTACTTTGTTGCATTATTCGAATTACTTAACCGTTGAAGAGCAAAATTTGCAATTCATACAAATATACAGGATGTTCAGTTAGGGGTGGAGATCCTTGGAGTAGGTGGTAGCCGGGGTGATTCTAAACAACTTTTTCCTTTGCCAAAATCCTCGTTAAGGCTTAGTTTTTAAATTATTAATGAAAAACACTACCTTGGCTGCGCCTGCACTATGCGCGCCCTTATTACTCGACGTTTTTCATTAATAAAATTCAAAATCGGGGGTGATACCCCTAGCCGAACATCCTATATATATATGCACACATGTATACGTATGCATTTGCAAAGCGTTTCCAAAAATCTAAATTACAATTAATCATCAAATATTTCTTCTACGCGGTCTCAATTTATTTGAAATATTGCAAAAATAATCGCGCGTTCGTTTCGAACGGTGTGCCACGATTTCAATAACATCACAGTTTTCTTTTTCTCTCACTTCATATTTGTTAACTCATGAAACTTGCTAAGTTTCGTCGAGCCTTTGCCAGATTATTACCAAACGTTCGAATCGAACGAAATGTAATATGCGTTTGCGAGCAACGACTGTAACGGTGTAAAACTTTAACGCGTCGACTGTTGTGAGGATACACCGATACAATTTACTTTAATAATGAACTTTTCAAATATCATTAACGATAAAATTACTCTAGCAATTTCGAGTGTCTGATCAGTGACCGACTGTTTCTACTGTGACACAGTCGACGTGTTAATCATTGGAATGATGCGACAAAGACGATGATCGCAACGATTGCACCCCGATAACAACGATAGAAATTTCGGGTTAAGATGGATAGAATTGCGACGAACAAAAGAATCAACGATACAACGACAGAGCCAGCAGGACAGAAGTAGAGATTGCAATAAAAATGGTAACGTGTCGGTAAATAGTAGAACGGTGAATATTTGATCAACGGCGCAATATCTACTTACACTATACTAAGAGAATCTTGTATTTTTCTTTTCTTCAAAATCGAATACAATAGCGTTTATTAAGGCTCGTCTAAATACGGTCTTCCCTCGTTTCTTCGATCCCGAATACCGTCGTCATTTCCATATTCATCGCTTTCGCGCATCGTCAAACGCAGTTCGCAAACTTAGCCGTTGCAACAAGCGAATTAATCGGCACCATATACGGGGTGTTCGACAACAGGTGGGCATAATTTTAAGGGATGATTCTAGGGATCAAAATAAGACGAAAACCAAGAATAACGAAAGCGCCTGAAACCTGCAACCCGCCCAGCACCGACGATTGAACGTCAGGTCAGCAGGGGCCGGTACAGCCATCGGTGCTGGGCGGATTGCAGTTTTCAGGCGCTTTTTACTCGAATTTTTAAACATTAATTACTGGAAAACAAAGCCGCAAACGCTATTTCGTTATTCATGATTTTCATCTTATTTTGATCCCTAGAATCACCCCTTAAAATTTTGCCAACCTGTTGTCGAACACCCTGTACATATTTATATATGTATTTCGTGTATCAGTATGTACATGTATATTAATATGTTCGCGTAATTAGCAGAATCTGTGCTTTCTACCCGTGCCTCTGGTAGACGCAGTGAAAAGGTACAAAAATAAGAATAGAATCGGATAGACTAGAGAATCGGACAAATATATATATATATATATATATATGTATATGTATACGTATTTATAGACGTTTATGTTATCGTACAGATCCGAAAGTCATTGTCGCTAATCGTCGTCGCTAAAAGTAGTTGTCTATTTTGACAAGTTGTTAAAATTACAATTTCACGATTATTGGCTAGCGGTAAGAAATAGCGATAATAGATTTCGGACGTTACTTTAACATACACGCGATCTTACGCATCCCCTTTCCTACGAAATCATTCGTCTGAACGATCCTCTCGGCTACATAGTGGCAGGAGCTCGGTTACTTTTTATTTATTCATAACTCGCGATATTTCGCGAGGGAATACAATATTATTTTTCTAAGCGGCGCTCACTGGGAGATCTGTGTTCTGTCGTTTAGAAGAAAACGCCGAGATTGGCTATTTGCCACTTAGAGAGGCAAATACGAATATTTCTTTTTTTTTTTTTTTTTTTTTTTTTCAAGATATCGAGACGATTCAGAGACGCACTTTTCGACTACCCTTCGAACAATTCTAAATTGTTGCTTTAATGGCACTCTGAATGGTTCTAGGTTCCCCTCGTTTCCTTTCCTTTCAGACGAGAAAGAATAAGCGTAATGAAATTCGTCGCGTTCAACGGAACAGGTGTTGCACGATTGCGATCTCGGAAGATAGGAATAAGCTAATTTAAATCGACAAATATCAACGCGAGTTTTATCAAAAACGAACAGTAACGTTTTAATTCGAACGAGAAACGTATCTTTGGTTCCTTGAGTTTCTTTCGAACGGAACGATAGATTGAAAGACACTGTGTTTTACATCGAGCTCGATGCTTATACGTATAATTTACATGGAAAACCGTGCAAATTCGCGTGAATTTAATTCGATCAGTGCGAAAAGCCAGCTGTAACCGATTGCTCTTCAACGATGATCAGCCTAAGAGAATTTTCGATGCAAAGTACAAAAAATGAGAACGTGTTTTTCGACTGTACGATTTTCGAATCGAACCCTCTGTGCCTTTGAAAATGTCGTTCATTTTTCTCTTAATTGCATCGTTATTTTACTTCGGCAATCTTTGAACTTCGGCACCATCGATAAAGGTGTTAATTGTTTACACCTGCGAACGCGTCAAATTCTTTTTCAATCATGCGTTAAGCGACAGACTACAATAGAAACGCGTTGGTAAAAAGCTGTTTAAGCTCCGATGTTTGCGATTGAATTTGCTGAATCGTTAAAAAAATCGACGATCAAGCTCGTGACGTTTGATTCACCCTTCGTTTCGCGATTCGACCATAAAAAAGATATAATTAATATTCTTAACACGTTGACTAGTAATGACAGCATGACTAGTATGGGTGTCACCGGTGATCGGTGTTTCAAACTTAATACAATTAATTAATAATAACAATTAACAACACTTAAGAAAAGCAAAGAGAAGTCAAACGTTTCAAGAGCAATTAGCTTGAAGCGAGAAATTAAGTGATCGTGGTCAATGCGCCAGCGATCTGCATCGTGTGCCGCATTAATTACGACTATTACTACTCGTGCCGTTCGACGCGCTAGTCCTTTGTCTTTCTACTAGGAATGTCGATGATCATAAAAGCGAAAAATATACAAAACGGTATAGTAAAATTTGTATATTTTTCCTTTACAAAATCTAACACACATTTTAACGAAAAGTAAAACGAAGAGCGAATCGAAGACGCGTTCGCGTAAGAGTATCACCGCGCAAGTGCAACTAATTACATCACGCTAAAGATTTAGGATTACGTGTGTCTTGGTCCGTGGCGTATTTAAACGTTAATTAATTTATTTATCGACGCACCCTATCAACTAAACGACTGTTTGTTCATTCGCGGCCGGTGACGCGTATAAAATATGGCATATTAGTATGTAGGTAGATAGAACGTTCGTTCCCTTTATCATCGACTTCCGGTCTTCGACGAAGACGTTTTTGTCTCTTTTTCTTTCCTGTAGAATGTAGACGATCCTTGGCTCTACGGCAATATTCGTTGTGTCGATTATGCGTTATTCACGAAGAGATAACTCGGCGCCATAACAGGAGAAGCTTATTCTCGATGATCGTACGATTATCATCTACGATCCTAATTAATAATCGTAATAAAGATAGCGGGTATAATATGATTATATCGTACGCAGTGACGCTGTAAATTTCACGACGATCGTCAAGGATGTCGATAACGATTCTTTTACCATCGACAACGTTTTATTACCGCGACTGCAACGGGTATAATTATTAGAAAATTCGATTTCTGATTACTCTAGACAATTTAAGACATATCGTACTCTTTCGTTCTCGTGCGAGTTTAAACTTTGAGCTTGGTGAAATCGTAAAACTTCATTATCCTCTCGATCGTTTTGCTCGAAGAGAACGTTTACTCCGACGATCGAGTTACGTAATTGTCGTAAAACGCGATCGAACTGTGTAACATTTTGGTCTGCGATTAAATATTGCTGAAGAGTTAAGTGGCTCGATCGATAAAAATCGTTTTATCGTGTTTTAACTTTCTTTTTCTTTGGTGTTTTTCGGCCACTTTTTCTCCTGTAATCCCACCGATAATTCACAATAAGAATGAATGCTTACGAATAGCAATAACGACATAGTAGTACGATAGCAGCGGTATTTAGTAATAGTGATAATAATAATTACTCTCTCTCTCATTCTTTCTCTCATTCTCTCGTAGCGATAACAATGACGATAGTAACAGTAATAGAAATCATAATGATAATAAATAATCGATAAGAATAACAGTAACAATGAGGAGAACGTAATGATTGGTAATAGTGGCGATCAATAACGATGACAACGATGATAATAACGATAGTGTCGAGAGAGTATCGTAGCGATACGAGATTGCTAAAGGTACGCGGACTATTTGGAGAAACGTCGAATATATCAGTTCTCGATTGTTTTCTGCCTGTTTTACTTTCAAAGTTTCAATGAAATCGTCTTCTCTATTACCTGACATTTTGATATTTCTACGTTCCTCCATCGAGTTATGGGCACTTTGTTAGATCTAAATCGCAAGCTTTACCCGTAATACGTTTCAAGTTCCCCCTGTGCTTTCCGTCTCCTCGTTAATTTAGATCTGATCCGATTCGATCGAGTTTCCTTGTTTCCTACACGTCTAGTATTCGCGTCTGATCTAGCGAGAAGTTCCTTTTCCTTTGCCTTTGCTTCCGTTTCTGGCAATCGATCGTTACAGGTAGATTAGAAATTGTTTTCTTTGTTTTTGCCTTTTTTTTTTTCAACTATCAACGCGAAAGCTATCTCGAACGATCGAAAAGGATACACGTTGCTGCCGTTCGAAAGTCTTAGGATATTTTTATCATTTTCTAGTGAAATTAGTTCTCGTACTTTCAAAGTTGACGGTTCTCCTAAGATCTTTGAACGATAGCCGCGCATGTACGTAATTGTCTTACGTACAAGTTAGAGTCGAAAGCGAGTATAATTCTGAATTTACCAAGCTTATGGGTTTACTTTCGATTCTGATTGTACGCGTAACGAGAAATGTCTATCGAAAAGCTTCGATGAAACGACGATTGATTAACCAAATTTATATGCGTATACACATTATGTATATACGTCGAGATATACGTACATATGTATACGCATATATTTATATTTGTTTCATTTTGTACAGCGGAATTGTATGCTTTTGCAGCCCTGCTCCCTCGGTTGAAAGCGAACGTCTTTATTTCGTTCTTTCAAAGGTCTACGAATATAGAGTTATACATAAGTTGCGATCACGTTGATTTTGCCTCGATTACACAGTAAATCGGCAAGACACGGAAATAAAAGGTCGATCGTTAAGTAGAAGGCGGAATCACGAGTTAGCGATTTCATGGACGACACTTGTATATCGACCTTCTCTAACTTGTATAGTTGAGATTACAAGTGGTAACGTTTCTTAAGTAGATAAATTTGATTTGTTCAGCTAGCATAATTTTTTTTTTTTTCTTAGAAGCATCCTCGAATCAGCGACGTGATTAATTCGTTAGAAGAAAAAAAAAAAAAAAAAGAAAACGGTAAAGGAACGAACGTGCCCGTATCCTGTTTGCGCGTCCCTTTGCTCCCTTCGGACAAACGGTGCTTTTTCAAGAATTATCACATGTGAGAAATGACGAAGAAGAAGCGAATCCACCGAGTCCATAATTTACTCCCTTCTTTCATCGAAGCCAAAGAATCTGCCCTTTTCTTTAACCACTTCCCTTCGATTTCCATATCGTTTCTCAATTTTCTCAATTTTTTCATACGTGGAAAAAGTTCGACAGACACACTTTGTAAATTTCGAATCACCGGTTCAGTTCCTTCTCCAACCGCACGATAAAGATTTCCTTTATTCCCTGGATATTCCTGATTCCAACCTTCGAATTCGGGAACCATGTAATCGCGCAAAGAACAGACGGGATCGTTTGCCGGTTTCGATCTACGAGCTGCCTTTGTAGTGGATGAAGAAAAAGGTGAGGAACATGAAATAGGCGACCGGAAAGGTAATTCTCGCTATCACGTCGATCGTCTTTGCTACTCTTATCGGATGCGGTGGTTCCTTTTTTCTCAACTGGAAGAAAGAAGTCGTCTGCTCTGTTATTTCACATTTTCTGACAACGAGGAGCGTCTACGAGATAAGGGGGAAGGAGGCTAGGATAGAGGTTTATCGATCGTTGGGATTTGGAATCCAGGAAGAGTTTAATTAACATACCTCGGCGGTGCATCCGTTGGTGGTGGTGTGGGTGCAAGGGTTGGGTCCACAGTTGGTACAGGTGACGATCTCGTTCGGTCCTGTCGTAGCTCCGGTTGGTGGACCACCCTCTCGCTTCTTTTTACCCTGCGACAGGGTCTCCGTAGAAGAAACTTATATTCTTACGATCTTTCGTGCGAACAACGATCCATCCTTCGACCAATTTCTCCCTTCTTCTCTACTCGACCTCACCATTCTCCTCCTTTTCCTTCTATTCACTTTATCTTCTCTCTTACATTATATTTATTATAATGTTACGTTATGTATAATTCGGTGACCGATATATCAAAGGTCGATTATATCCGAACGACAGAAACGATAGAGGAATGGATATAAAATGAGGAAATCGAATCGAATTCTTTGAAATTAATAAAGGAGATCATTGATTTCTTATTCTCACGGTTTCTCGTTCGGTATTTATTGTTTTCATGGGATACTTCGTTGGATGGGTTTTAACGGAGATGGCTTTTCGTTTCACTTTTAAACGATAATAATTGATCGTTCGAGATGACAAGCGTAAAGTAAGTTAAGCGTGATGAAGGCTTTTGATCGAGGCGGACAAGCTTGCACGTACAGGCGTGAGATATTCCGGAAGTTCGCGCACAGACACATCGGCCACCGTTCTTCCTCGAAATTATCTTAATCGTCGGTGATATTCGTTCGACGGGATTGAATTTTAGGAAATTCTTTCGAATTAATCTCAACCGCTTGGCTATGTATTAAACTAACGAGTATCACCGAGGTTGATTTTAGGGAGAAATCGCAAAATCACCAGGCTTTTGATCGAAAAGCGAATCGTTGTTTCTCTTAACGACACACACGTCGTATGTATATGGATCAACATTATATCGTGCCTCTGCGTATAACTTACGAATTTACATGCCGTTAACATCTACGTTTTACACAGTTGCGCATCGAATTCGGAACGATTTAAACTTGTTAAATAAACGACAGAATAGGTACTTAAACGTCACGATTCCGATGCGAACGTCACGTATACTTTTGTAACAACTGTACATCTCTATAAGTTATAGTTGCGACGAAATATTTCCTCGAATCGCATGTTCTTCGCACACAATTAATCCTGAACGTCTTTCGACCAAGAATTTCCTTTCAGACTTTCCGCGCAGTTTAAGAGACTCTATTGCATTTCCTTTTTAATTAATGTTTTTCACTTCGAGTTTAACCCAGCGAACAACTAGACTGTAATATCAATTTCTTCGTAGAAATGAACTTTTATTCAGATTTTCCAACCGTCTGTTTCTTTCCATTTCCATGCATTTTCTTTTCAAGCGACGTTCCATTAAACTGGGCGAACGTCAAAGCGAATCCCTTTTAAGAAAGATATTCTTTCCTTTCAATTTCAAGCTTATGCTACGTGTCAAGCTTCAGTCGGGGTAAGTTTAATGGCAAAAAGCGATCGTTAATATCACAACCAATGCATTATATATATATATATATATATATGTATATATATATATTAGATATAAAAAAAGAAAAAGAAACGAACGGTATATATGTATACGGCTGATATGGTTCGATACGTTCGAATCACGATTGAAAAGGAAACAGAGGTAATTAAACGTTGAATAATTGATATTGCACAAATGAGATGACTCGTCGCCGCGCGTTATTATTTTCAACGTTTCTTGCTACGTGTAATTAATGATTGTACTAATTGTTATGCTCGTTTCGCTTTCACTTGTGTTAAGAATAATATGAATTTATAAACTATCATAATGATATTGTTTTTTGAAAGTATATGCGAAAGTTTATGATCATCGAAGGGTTCGAATGAACTCTAAATGAAATCTTGTGAGATAGAGGATAAATCCGATAACCCGTGATTGGTTCGTTCAATTCGTATAATGTTTTGTTCGTTAGTTGCTTGTTTGACGAAAAAAACGATCGAATCGAAAAAGAAAAGCGTCGCTCGCAAATCAAAGCCGAAGCAAAGCGCCAATTTCCTTGGTAAACTTTTTGCCAAGGAAATTCTGCTCTATTGCCTTTTAAATTTTGCCATTTCTACAGAGGCGATATCGTATAATCTATTCCTTCGATTTGCAAGCGACAGTTTCAGCTAATTGTCCGACTCGAGTAATCGCTTTTGTCGTCGCGACGAGCCCGTATCAGCGATCAAGCAACAGAAAATACGCACACAGAGGAATAAAAGAAAAACGTAACTCGTAAGCCTCGATACAAGAAGCTGAACGTTCAGAAGCGTTTAATTATCGTCGGAAGCACGCGTCTAACGCGGAATCTAATGACTGACGGAGAACAAAGAGCTTTTACTCGCTTGGAGGAGAGTAACCGCTGATCTGAACGCGATTCCCGTGCTTTAGCGAGACGGGAAGAAAAGATTTGTGGAAATTGTTGTCGAGGCAACAAGGTACAGCGTGATCGAGCAAAAACATTGTTCAACGTGCATCATGCGCGTGCTAAATAATAATTAACCACATCGTTCATGCATCGCATGCGTTCAAACTTCTCCGTCATCGATTCAAAATGAAAATTTTTTTTTTCTTTCTTTTTTCACGTACCAGCGCCTTCTCGTTTCGCAAACGATGGAAACGAGAGCACGATCAAGCTATTCTTTACTTCTACCTTCGAATGCTTTTCCATGAATTGCTCGCAAAATTCGTCATCGTCGAGTTTCAATCGAATCTTTTTATGCGGTTGCATCATTCGCACGTGCATGCACTTGATCATGCGTTTCATTCGGAAGAATAAGATTAAAGGTAGAGAGGCGCGGGAGATAAAGAGAAAGAGAAAGAAGAGACAGGTGAAAGGTGACGAGAGGTAGAAAAATTTGGCACGAGCACAGGCGGGGAAGGATACGATAAGAGTCGAGAGGAATGTTCCTTCTAATGTTTTTCCTACTTAATAATAATAATAATAAATAATTCCTTATTTCCATAATTCAATTTACAGAGACTTTAAATGTTTTTCGTATAAAAAGCCGAGTGTGAACCCGATAAACGTGTCAGGATTTTCACCGTTCGAGGATTAAATCCGGCAATCGGAATCGTTTAACATTTCCGCTCGACTCATTCTCGATAAACTAGACGGCTAAAAAATGAGTTGGATCAGAGAAAGATAAAGGGTATTCCGTTCTGTCGAACGAGAAAGCAAGAGAACAAGTGTGTACGTATGGTAAATGTTGTACGAGTGTGTGTGTATAGGTATACGTGGATCCCTGTGGATCAGTGTGGTTCGTCAGGACGCGGTTAAGACCTTGCACGTGCACACCATGGATTTCTTGGAATCGCTATAAATTATCCCGATCGGAAGCAGAACGAAAAAATGAGAGAACGTATTGTAGGAAGCAAGGGTTGGATCCCCGGGAAAGTTCCTCTTGCCTCAGAAATAAAAAAATGTCGCGCGATAAACGAATGGAATCGCGAGGCGAGAATGGAAATTTGAAAATCGAAATTCTGCATGATAAAACGCGCCAAGTCGTGACCGCGCCCTAATGCTATGGGGGGTCTTACCAAGGGGCTGGCCAATATTATCCCTATCCTGCTGAGCACCGCTGGGAGCCGCTGCAACATCACAGACACCAAACAAAGAGACTTACTCACCAACATTTCCACACCAACCAAATTCTTACTAATCGTGTGTGTGTAACAACGTGTTTGTCGTTTTCCCTCATTATTTTTATTTCTTTCACATCGAGAAACAGATTTTTCCTTTCTTTCTGGCCATTTTACCCGTGTTCTAATAATTCCTTCATCGCGCGAACCAATTACTTACAATTAGTACCTTGGTTAAACCGTGAATTACTTTCTTCGCCGTTTCCTTTCGCGCCGCGAACATACGTTAATTCGATCGAGAGAATTTTCCTCGGTTGCAGTAACTTCGCTCCTTCGGCTCTCGAGAGAATATTTCACGCAATGAACGCGAAGGGTAATGTAATAATAATATCGGTGGGTGAATTCAGCAACGTGGCCCTCGGTAGGTATTCATCGCGATCCCGACGAAACCGTAAACAAACAAGGATGCAAATTTCTTCGCGTATGCGTTACGAGCGCGAAACGTATTCTTTGAAATATTCTTGAGATTTAGAGGTTCTTTTTTAATATTTTTTTTCCGCGTAACGATCGTAACGCAACGATACGCGGCGGAGGAAGAATAATTAGGGAAGAATCAGTGTATATACGACAAAAGGTATCGGATACCAGATGGTGCGTCGATATCCGAGAAAGAAAAAACTATATCGTTGTTTCGGGTGACAAAATGTTAGGATAAAAAAGAGAAAATAGAGAAGATTTATTACAGAGAATAAGAAAAGGGGGGCAAAGAGCGTGAAACTGCTGGAGACATGCAAATACTGCAGCCTCGATCGAAATCGACGAGAGTACCGAACATTCTCGGAACAGAAGGATATTCGAATTTTTCATCAAATTTTTCTATACCTTTTTATAGTAATATCGAATGATAATGGTAGTTTAAACCGAGAACGTTGGTAATTGTCGCACGAGTCTCGTCGTTATCGTGTTGATCGAAATTGGAAAGGGATAAAAATCGTGAGTTCTTTCGGGAAAGATAGAGACACAATCAAAAAGAAACTATATAGACATAGGCGTAGTATCGAGAAATGCAGCGATTGTTAAGTAACAAACCATACCGTGTCTGTGCAATGTTCACGCCAACGAGTTCACACGTGCACGATGCGAATACGCGAATATTGAGGAATCGTTTCAGCGATTACTCGAACTCAACTACCACCACCCGATACCACCCCTCTACAACTTCGATTTATCGTCGATAAGCCCACCCAACACACAAACACAAACATCAATCGAGCCAATTATATTGAACAATTTCTTTTATCTTTTCTTTCGTATTCGAAAATTTCGCGTGCTTCGCATGACTACGCGATATTTCGATCTACACCACCGGCCAAATGGTAACGGGACCATTATTTAATGATGCTTCATTTTTTTTTCGAATGTGATTTTGGAAAATTCATCGGACGCTTAAAGAATGGCCCGATACTTTTTGGCAGTTGACGTAAGAATCGAGGATTACCTGAATCGTTCGTTGCATCTGCGTCGATCGCGTATTCCACGCATTCGAGGATATACAGAGAAATGAGGTGTGTAAAGATATCCGAACGGAAATCTCGAGAAATAGGGAGTGAGAAGTATTTCTTCTATTTCGCGGATACCGCTTTCGAGGAAAACGATTTAGTTGACGCGTTTTTTCAGTCAGCTTACCTCTGTGACACGCATCGAAACGAACAACAGCAATTTTTGCACGAACCAACGCTTCGCTCGATCATTCTCAAAGAACAAACTTGGTGTTTACTGTGTGGGCTTAATGAAAGGTGCTGTGGTCGATTTTGTATTGTGAGTGTACGTAATGTCATTGTCCGCCAAGAAGAAAATAAAGTGTTTTATTATCGTTGATCCTTTGCACGTTTCATTTCAACACTTTGCTCGTGGAAAATTATCGGGGCAAACGTATAAAGAATTTCGTAATTCACGAATAAAGTGTTGGCATTCGTCTCAGGAGAATCTACTCCTGCATTCGTTGAAAAAAAAAAATAATTCGATTGCAAGAGTAAGTACTTCTCCAGAAATCCACATTTCATTTAATATACGATCAGCGAGTAAAAGTTCGCGAAATTCTCTTGGCGCGAAGAATTTTCAAACGGATCGAAATAGTAGAAAGAAAAGGTGTTGGTTTGTTAAAGAGCGCGACGACGAAAGTAAGAAGAACATGAATTAAAGACAGTGGGGGAAACAGGCAATAACAGAAAGAAAAAAAAAAAAAAAACAATAAAGATATAGAATCAAACCGAACAAAGAAACGTTAAGGAAAATATCGAAAGAAATTTTGACGACTGTTACACTCGTAAAACGCAAGAAGAAAAATGAAAAATAAAAAACGGAAATTCGAAAGAAATTGATGGATAAAAAAATGAACGGTATAAAGTGGAAGAAAGAAAATACGAAAAACGTACAAGTGTCGGAGAGAATAAAAATATGCAGGTGGTGTGGATATATCGCGAAGGAGGGTGAGCAAAAGTACCTGGGTGACAGGATTCTCTCCAGGACGATAGACGACGTTGTGCATCGGCCGTTTCCGACCCACGTAATTCACGCAGACAAACTCTAGCAGGCTGGCGTAAATGAAGCACATGCACACGCCGTCCCACACGTTCATGGCAGTTAGGTTCGACACGACCGGCAGCGTCGACCGGAAACCGTTCGACGTGGTGAAAAAGTTGAGCATCGTTGTCACACCTGAAAACATATCGTTTCCACTTTATCTCGGTTCGATCTCGTGTTTTCCTTCGAAAGCGACGCGATGCCAAGCAACGAGATTGCTCTTACGTCTTACGCGATGTTTTATGCATCTTCAACCTTACTACTCCAACCAGTTTGTCGCGAAATTATTCCTTTCCTCTTGGGACTGGTCCTCTTAAAAGTTAAGGAACAATGCACGGAGAAAAAGTTTTCAAATTGTTTCCAGATTTCTTGGGGAAAAAGAAACATGTTTCCTTAATTGCCCCGTTATACTCGCAGAGGAATAACATTTTGTAATTAATTATTAATAAATGCAATTATTATAGCACGGTTGTAATAGTTATTCAAAAAAAGACAAATTATCATTAAAAAAAAAAGAAAAAAAAAAATTGGGAACTATGGGAATTGAACCCTGGACAGTTAGATTGCGAGTCAAGCGTTTGTCTTATTGTTAGTTTCTTATACTTCTCAATATAAGTAGTCACTAGCTTTAATTGTTAATATCTTTTAAACAATTAGCCGTCTGTTCCCAAAATGGGGTATAGGCGTGTTCAGGACGACGAACTCTACAAGGTGGCAAAGTTTCATTAATAAATGAGCGTAACACTTGGGTAGTTCCCCTCGTAAGATTTACCAAATTATTTATACGTTAATTCGTGTCTCGGCATGTTAGCCTCCCCTATAATTCTAACAGATCGATGCGAAGATCTATGTGGATCTATACTCTGTTATCTCGTTGGCAACAGCTTGATAGGCGAGGAGGTAGGGACCAGGTGTTTAGGGTGGTAATTGATATCTCTTTACGTTAGTATTAAATTCTAAATGTACGACGTTGTTAGAAGAAGAAGCTTAATATGGTGAGTTGAAAAAAAATTAAGCTTACCGATCATTACTCGCGCTGGCACTGCGTTCCATTCGAGCCAGAATGTAATGAAAGAGCTGGTCACCAGAATAATTCCCGGGATGAAGACCGTCGTGAAATAGAAGGCACGATCTCGTGTGAAAATCAGATCCACCTTCAGGCAGCTGTAGTTACCTATCGTGTGTTAGAATCGGTATATCGTTATCATCGCGTCTCTGCCTTTTACGGAAATAGCGAGCGACGGGATTAAAGAAGCGTTTAGCAATCACTTATTATCGCAACGAATCAAACGGCAAATTCATTGCAGACGTTTTATAAATCGTTTAACTATATTTTCCGAGATTCCTTTACTTTCTTTCATTTTAATCGTCGAGTTTCGTCTTTCGAAAGGAATCTTCGCTCTGTTTCAATTCTATCCCTTAAAGTCCTGTTTAATTCCTAACTCATTCGTGGCTCTTCTTTGGACAGTTAGCTTTCATGACGGATCAAAGTAATAATAATAATAAAAAAATAAATGAATAAAAATAAACGACGTAGAAAAGGAAGAACAGGGCACAGTCGTGTCGCCAACTTTCCGCAATGAAGCTTCACATTCGCGAAAGCGGTTTCAAGCCGAGCTGGATACTAACGCGTGAACGTCTAAGAATTTGATAGTTTTAGGGAAAGGAAATGTTGCGTTTAGAGGAAGCAGATTACCTTTAGAAAACTTTCTCTCCCCGAATCGGGCAAAAGTTCTTTGATTTTCTGGAGGAGAAAGTATTTGCTCGCCTTATTGAGAATGAGGAAACTTGGAGAGAGAGAGAGAAGAACAGAAGGGTTACGCGTGCAATAGATAATCAATCTCGACGATTGAATTTGTTTCATCTGTTGCGTTCGAAATGAAAGAGATACAAAAATAGTAAAAAAAAGGAAGAGATCAACAACGGGGAATATAATGAAGCAGAAGCGAAGCGCAGGCTAAATGATTGAAACAAACGTTTGTCTGGATCCGAACCACGTTCGGTAAATAGTATTCGAATTTTGGGATTAATGCGTGGGTTGAGAAGGCTAATTACGATTTACTTGGGACTCAAAAAAATATTGGAAAATACACAAAGTATACAATGCAATAATTTCACAAACGAGATGTAAATTAAATAACGCGTACTCGATTTGCAAAGCATTTTGTTAAAAGCACTCGACGAACGAAGTAGGTCCACGATTAATTTGGTTGCGATTCGAATACAGCAATTCTCTCACGTTTGCATATTTCGTAATAAGCATACATGCATCGACGAATACTGTTTTACACGAATAATTACGAGTTACAATATTTTTCTGAGTCTATGATGATACACTGAAAATATACTAATGTCTTGTAACATTCTACGACACGCTAAACACGTTCTGTCAAGCGATTAACAATCCCTTTTCCCTTACATTTAACCGAACAAAAGCAACTTGTTCTAGAAAAGCAGTTCGAAGTATCCAGGCTGAAATTTTTAATCACTTGACAGAGTTTTAATCGTTAGGATGGTCCTTCAACCCTCTGCACCGATCATCTGCGCTACTGTTTTCCACTTTGCGAGCCTTTTCGAGTTTTCTCATCCGTGTTAGGATTCCCCGTCGCGTTGCTCGGACGTAGTCTTCTTTATCATTCTTTACCGTTTTATACCGTTTTTTAACGTGTACTCGAAAAACGTCGCGACGTTCGACGGAAACCGCGCGGGCCTCGTTTTATTCAGGGAGAATTTCTTTCCTCGACCATGAGACGAAGCTCCATGACGAGTACAAAGGGTAAAAGTACCGTGACTATGCGACATCGGATCTACTTGGAACGTTGTTTCCCAAATTTCTCTACCATATTCAATTTTTCTACACTCTTATTCGCGAACCCTTTTGCTGCATCGCATAAAGTAAACTAAACTCGATCGAATACGTAACTAGCTATAAAAAGAAATGAAAAAATTTAGCTAATTTAGCTAAATGTCGAGAAACTGCAGCAAAAGGATTAACTAAACGTTTTCGTGGATCAATGGAAAATTTGTTCAAGGGAGAGGACGATTTGGGAAGCAACCACTCGGAATATCTAAGCCTGTCTCACGAGTTGGTAAGCTTGGTCCTGTCTCTCCCTCCCTTTTTTTAATGGCTCGTCTAAACCTTTTTCCACGTGTTTTCGTTTCGTTTCGTTTCGTTTCGTTTCGTTTAGTTTCGTTTAGGAATACTGTCCGCGTCGTAGGGGAGGATTTTACCTTGCTCCTCAAACCTGCGCTGGCACAGCGAGCACTTTGAGTCCCCAAATTCATCGAACTCGTCCTCGTAGTCGACCATGATCTGTCCGTCAGCTGCAACAGAACAGCCCACGATCTTCCTTCCTCTCTTCTTTCCATTTTTTAACCATTTTTTTTGTTTGTTTGTTTTTAATTATTCTTATTTAATTTGCTCTCTTTCCGCCTTTGTCTTTGTCTTTCGTTTCGTTTCGTATCGTATCGTCCTGTCGACGGGACGGATAAATCTCGATTATTCTACACCCAGTGGGAATTTCAATTTACCGCGAAATCGAATAAATTTCTATTCTTCGTATATCGTAGAACGAGTTGTAGAAAAGTATAACAAGAATAATAAGTTTTGGTCGAAAGAAAGTTTGCGCGAATCGATAGGAAAGGGTAAAACATTTCGCGATTGTTCAGCTCGTAAACGTGTTATATTCTTTGCTCGACATGATCTATCCGTCCTCCGGTTTAACTTCGTGTATTCTTTTTCTCTTGATTTCATCGAGGAAATTTTCAATGAAACGTCTCGCGTTAATCTGTCGTTTTATACGAACCTCGCGTGACAACTGACCGGGCATAAGAGGAAATTTCAATCGTTCGGCTAACTAGACCAAGCATTACCCGCATACCGCCATGGTTAATCTGTTCGGGGTAAAGAGAAATACGCGGCTATCGATTGTCGTAGCCGATAGACTGTCGGTGTTTAAACGGTTGAATATAAAGCTTGTTCGAGGAAACCGAGAGAAGGAAACCGCTCAGCGACCTGAAACGAAGTCTCTCTTTTATCCTTATTCATCTGGTTTGGCTCTGAAAACGGTTTTTCTCTGGAAGAGAAAAGAGGCGAATGCGTTCGTGTGTTTCACTCGAAACAAGCTGCTGCGATCACGTTTTCGAAGGGAATGAAAAGAAAGGAAATGAAAAGAAAAGAAAAGATACGCGTTCAAGCTTCTCATTGGCTGCGTAAGCTGTTTAAAGAGCTTATAAGCGACCAAGGTAAATGGTTACGAAACAATCAGCTGAAATGAGACATTTGAATCGTTAAATACAACTGTTAGGCATCGAATTGTTTGCGAAACATAAGAGAATCGCAATCAGGAATCGATAAATAAAAAATGATTTACGTGAGTTTCGTTGTTCTCGAATATTTTCTTTCATGAGAGATCGTGGGACGATCCGCGACGAAACCATCGAACAGCCACAGGGAACACGATGGGTCGTTAGAAAGAGTTTAAGAACCTCACCCCAAAAGCAAACCACGGCGGGCTCGGTTAAAAAGCGAGACAGGAACCAAGGTTGCCAATATGCACTTTCTAGAGGAGCTATGTATCATCTAGATATATACATATAAATACAAGTTGTCTCGGCAAACGTGTACACCGTGAGAAGTCTAAATTTATCGTGGTAAAAAATAAAAATTGTTATCAACAAGTTTTATAACGATAGGTCAATTAAGGAACCAAGGAGTTTTGGATATTTTCAGTTTTCCCCCGGTGCACATGTTTCGTTCAGACACCCTCTGCAGGTGTAAATTGTACAAGGATGTATATATATGTATATACACGCGTAAAGAGAGAGAGAAAGGCATATGTGTAAGTACAAAACGTATCTACGCCAACTATTAAGTAACAAAGGTGGAAACATAAACGAAGGTTCTCGTTACAGTTTCGCTACGTCGCATGCAGAATCCTTGAACGTTTCTCCCTTAAACGTTTCCCACGATCGTTCAAACGGGTTACAAACTTTTGCCCAAACCATCTGACACCTGCAAACACTCTCAAACATACGCGCACGCATGCGATTGTTAACACTTTGACCGTCGCGCCGTCTCGTTCGTTATTTATCCAATTATCGGAAATGAGATTCGTATCGTGGAAGGATTTTATGGCAAATTCAGCGTGGCAGTCAACGCGTTAGGCCGCGAAGCAATGAAATTTTATAGCGATCAAAAATGGCAAGGGATTGCCAATGTATTCGTGGCCACGTGAAACGCTGTTTCAACTTTCGTTCGGCTATCGTTTCTCTTTCAATAATTTTCAATATCATCGTACTTTCGAGGATCGCGCGTAATTTCGCACCTTTGATCGGGAACGGTTTCTCGAATTTCGACATTCTTCACTCTCTTTCAGATTCTTGCGAGCCCTAAAGTGCAGAGACACGCGTTAGACGCGTTCCCATTTTTGTAAGGGAACGTTCCATCGCGCTAAAGTTGAAATGCGGTGCAGAAAAAGGTGAAGCATCCTGATGCGAGCATACATACATTTACCGCATGCATTTTCCGTACTTACCTGGAGCAGTTCCCTGCTGATCGCGACAAACAGATGCAACAAGGAGAATGGAAAAGAAGAAAGTTGGCAACAAGGCGACAAAAGACACGCTTTGCTTCTTCAGGAGGAGAAAAGGGGGTGACAAAGGAATCGTTAATTGTTTCGGAAGTTTAGAGTCGGGTGAAATTTCATGCTAAAGTCGGATTTATCTCGAGAAACGGAAGGTGTTTGAGTGTGCGCGTGGAAGCGAGCTTCGCTGGACAAAGGGTAGGTGATCGGAAATGATCGATAGTTAATAGAGCGGAGGAAGCAGGATGTGGGCAAGGCGTGAACGAAATTAGGAATTCTTTTTCGGTGGTGCCGGTCGGATTTATTGATCCGTTCCCGTCATCCATTGAAACGATGCTGGGGTTTTTTTCCAGGAATGGAGCAAAGGTTCAAGGGATGCAGCGCCTCAGGTGCATCGATCTGCTAATAGGTATTGCAACTCCTGCTTCCTTTATTCGATACCGACCCAGCTAGATTACCATTTCGCTTTTCATCTCCTATACAGGTATTTGCTTGCCACGATTTCGTATCGATAAACGAAACTATGGAGAGTGAAAAGGTTAAGCTACCTGGGCAGATACCGGTGTTCGAATGAAAAATCTAAATCGACGCGACGATCGATCGCTTCGGTACAGACGAGTCTCGCGTTCCAACTTATCGACTTGCTTTTTATCTTTCAAGCGATACTAAAAATATCCTTCTGGTGAACTAAGAAAATTGCCGTGTTCGGTGCATTGCGACAGTACAGAAGCGTGTCATTTTAAGGATGCAAGTAAGAATCGTAAAAGAGAACTGACAACGAACAGAAATGTGGCAAATTTACGACGTTTCACGCGTTAATCGCTTCACTCCGCGTACGATATTCGAATCCACGCGTAATAAAAGAAACACCGGAGTTTCAATTAAACTTTTTACACGTTCCCTCCAGTCTTTCTATCTCGTCGAGTAATAAACCATTATTTGTTCGGTAACTCACCTCGCCAGCTTACTTTGATCGGGCAGGTGATTGTCTGGTTTTTAATTAGGTACGCGTTCAGCGATGTCAGGCTTGGACTTTTTCGCAAAGTACCCTCGTCGTTCTTCCACACGTACGTGATCGCCGTTTGTTCGTACGATACTGGAAAAAGAAATTCAAGTTAATTGAAAAATAACAGCATATAACGTTACGATTTATCCGATCACTTACTGCTCTCGATCGCGAATGAACACAATGGGTCATCGAAGGGGAAGATATTGAGTCTACCCTGGCAGGATAGGATGAGGTGACGCCTAAAACACAGTTTCACCCTTTCGTTAATGTTATCCTACGAAATCTCGCGTTTACGTTTAATCGTGGCTTCCGTTAACTGCCTCGATACCCTTCTATAGGAAGCTCGATTATGGAAACCATTAATTCAAATGTTCCGATTTCGTGTAGGTACGCGTATTCACCGGCTAATGTTACGGTTTATTCACTACCAATTAAACGTTTAATTAGCCGCAAGAGCAGAGTTTGTGTACAAGTAGAAGCCGTCGAATAACGACGAGGTTGGAATGAACTCGATACCCGAGATAGAATTCTAATATGACTGACTATTTAACCCTCGAACGAGCTTAATAAACTTGTCGAAACTTTTCCTTCGCTCGGTTCACCTTATGAATTTATTACAGCATCCGTCCCTTAATGAACGAGGCTATTACTCCAAAGTTTTTGTTTAATTAGTAACGCCTATGCAGAGGCCGTTTATGTCAGGAATCACCGTTTATTGAAATTCATTGAAATTCATTGAAATTCATTGAAATCCGGCAAAGACCGGCCGAGGGTTAATGGAGCAACGAGGAAATGAATAAATAAAGTACCGCATAAGGTAGTTGACGGTGCCGTTCCGGTATATCCGTAGGGCGAAATGTACAGGTATGAGCGGATCCTTAAAGTCCCCGTGCATTATGAAGTACGTGTCCGGCAACCAGATATCGTCGTAGTGATGAATCGCATTCAAGAATTCGTATTGCGATCGGTTGCTGTACCGCAATCGCGGATCGTACCACTGTTGTTGCAACAAGAACTCCACCTCGTATTTCTGTCGATGGTAAATTATACGAGAATCGAGAACAGCTTCGACGCTTTTATTACATTAATTATTAGAAAGGTAAATGATAATTACCAAACTGGACTCGTCCGGAGAAGCCAAACTCAGCAACAGCACGCTCACGTTTACCGTCAAGGTTCCTGAAACACAGTGACCGATTGAAACGTTACGTTCGATCGGAAATTTCTTCGATACGATCGCCAAGAGAATACGCTAATTCGAAGGTTTCAAAGTTAAATTAGATTTCGATTCGAAGCAGAAATCGACTGGTGTATTTTTAACGAGGTGTAATTCGAATTAGCGTGACTCTCCCGTTTATTCGAACCGATCGGAGCCGACCTTTACGAGCGAAATCGATGATTTCGTTGTGGAATCGTAAGATCAGCTTCGCGAGAACGGTAAGAACCTACGGAAACGTGAAGAAACATTTTCTTTCTCTTCTACGTCTGCACAAGCAGTTGCCGTTATTGCGAAAGCGTCGTTAGAAGAGCCATGCTATGCACATGCGACTAAATTTTGTATTTCGTATTCCGTATTCAGTGTGATACTCGTGGCTGAAAGTTAGGACTCGAGAGCCTTCTATCGAATTGGGATAATCGTATAAAGAATATAAAATTAGCGTGTCAGTTGCGAGCTGCGCGAGGGTTAACCATTAATTCGCGTTAGTATAATTTTAGTCGTCCTCGCGATGTTTCTTCGTTTCCTAGTTAATTAATTAAATTGAATTCGTAACGTGGCTCATCAGTAAACCCCATGACATTTCCCCGATTAATCAACGAGTTAAGCTGCAGCTGTTGGTTCGCGTGTCGACTGGTTAACGAGTCCCAACCACCGATCCACTTGCCAACGCATTCGACTACGTAAAAAAGACACAAGAAACGAGTGTCTGGTACGCTGTAGTGTAGAGAACGGACGGGCAATGGGACATGGATGGGAAAATGACATCCAGAAATCGTAGATTCAAGATAGAGAAACGCCTTTCCTCGGCTTTTTCTTAGTACAGTTTCTCGAGTTTTGGATCGTCGAAAAAAAAAAAAGAATAGAAAAGAAAGAATCGATACGCGTTATCGAACGACGTATGAGAATAAACGAGCGTTTATCGAACACGAACAACGAGTCGACCGGGAAAGAATGTTAAATACTCTAAACAGGGAAATCGACGTTCTATCAAGATCCGATGAGGAACAGACAATTAGGCACGCGCTGTTATGCGTGCGTGGGTGTATGTGTAATTGCACACGTTCCAGTTAATCGAAGGTTTAGGTCGAACCTTGTACGAATCGTATAAACTCGATCGTTTTTTTCTCTCTCTCTCTCTGTTTCTTTGATAAACAGGGAACAAAGAGTAGAGTTTTCAAAAGCAGTTGTGTTTTCTTTTGCTTCCATTCTGGCGTGCACGCAAACTTGTTTAGCGAGGGAGAAGAAACGCGTACACTTTCGATCGACCTAGAAACCCTCGTGAAAAAATTCGACGAGCAACCCATTCAGAATTCAATTTCTGCGGCTCAACAGCAGTTTTCGAACAACGTGTTACATCGCTTTTTTTTTCCAATTGGGTTCTTCTCAAAACAGACTGTTATTCTTCACGCTATTTCGATGTATATCGCGAGGGCGGGCTGAAACGTTATTTCTTCTCGGTTATTTAATTAAAAGTAGTTTCGAATAGTTAATACAAGACTGCGTAAATTAAGGTAGGAAGAAAATTTTTCAGCCTGCCCTTTTGATTCGCAATGAAAAAACAAAGGAAATAAAGAGATTGAAAATCCATAAATGATCGACCAAGAGAGCTAGGAGGGCAAACGAGCAAAAGAAGAAAGGGTAACGACCGAGAAAACACGAAACACGAAACACGAAACACATAGCACGAGAAGGGGTAAGACGGATAGACGGAAGCAAGACGATTATTCGGGTAACTGAATGGGTTGGGTCGGATGAAGATTCGTAATAGGCTTAATTATTTTTCTAGACGAGGTTACGAGAGAAGTAAAAGCAGAAGGACGGACCGCGAAGGTGGGTGCGAAGGTGTCGGTGCGACGTGTAGTGGTTATTGTTCTGGTTCTTGTACTGGTTCTTGGGGTCGTTAGAGGAGGTCGACGACCGGTTCGACAGGCCGGTCGCGTCACCAGGCCATCGCATTCCGCAGCAGAAATCCGCATCTGTAACACCCAACAACCCTTGCCCACGTCTCGTCCATTTCTTCTCCTTCTATCAATCTAAAGTTCACCGGGCTGTTCGATTCTCCCGAGGGTAGGGATAAACCTACTGTCGGGATATTTATTCTTACTCTTTAAACCCGAATCACCAACTAGGAATTTCTTTTTTATTCTTTTATTCCTCTCATTGGCAATGCCTGTCAATTTGACGGTATGGAAATAAAGAATCTACGTGAAAGAAAACAACTACTACGAGCACGTTTGTTCAGAGAGACAACCGACACTTGACATACACGTTTAATTCTTTCCAAGTACTTATCGTTGTGCGCTTTCAACTTCTGGCCATCCGTTGCGACCCCGGTCGAATGCCGTTTTACAAGCAACTCGTTATCCGATCGAACAGCGTAGAATCATAGAGAATGGCAACGGGAAAGTGGTGGTTGTACGTTTATTCGTTAGAGTCTCGCTGTGTGTGAATATTCTGTGAATTTCTGTGACAGCCAACAACTCTCTTGCCCACGTCTCATCCTCTTTTCCTCCCCTATTTGTCTTCGCGAAAAAAAAAAGAAAAAACGGAAGCCGCGATCCGCGTTAGTTCGATCAAATAAATAAACGAAAAATGGTCAAGATTGTCGGAGGCCTGGCGTAAAATGAACCGACCTACACTCGCCCTGATGAACCCTGAATAATGCACTTTTCATGCAGTTCGACTTGCCGTCTCGTTCCCTTAGCGCTATTTCATCCTTCGATCTCTCTCGTAAACTCGTTAAATTCCTTCCGCGGATGCATCCAAGACACCTTTCTACGTTCCGTTAATTGTAAAGAAACGAGGGGAAGAGTAATTGTCTCCTCGACCATCGAGATAATGTTTCCCGACAGAACAAAGGGACGCGTTTGAAACGATACACGCTTTTCTTCCTCGATTTTCAAGCCTCGCCACCGTTCCCTTTTCATCTCGAGCTCTGCTCTGCTCTGCTCGAGGGTGTTTACGCGACTTTCTCCTTCTTTCCCCTTTCTCAGACAAAGAGAAACCTTCTTTCTCTTCTTTCAAACGGCAGGCCAGTTTGCACTTAATCCGCACAGAAATCGTTTCTCTACACCGACAAATGGCTGGAAATAGGTGAAACGATATGATTCTTTTTATAGCCATCGAGGGAAACGGAAATTGAGGAATAAGGGAGACGAGGGGAAATTGCAAAAGGCAGCTGAAACGCGTTACACGTGTCGATTAGAAGCATCCGCTACCGAGAGGAATCCGTCGTTATTATTTTAAACCCGAAGCTGTCGCGATCGATTCGGCACGGACGTTTCTTTACGTACCTCGCGTATTTCTACAAGGTTTCTCTTATACATAATCGAATCGATTGTTGGAAGAAGATAAGTGAAACATCGTCACGCGACTCGACGCTTTCGAGATCTTGTAACGCTTCCGGTCGAACGAATCTTTCGATATCTTCGACTCTCAAACTCTAATGGATAATACCTGGATAACGATCGATATTCAACCGCGATTTTTAGCAAAAGGGTTGATCATTATTGGAAGGACGAAGAGCGCTCGAAAGGTAAACGAGACGGACGCGTTTTCTAAGAGCGATAGCTGCAAACTACTAGGCGTTTAGTAGAGGGAAGAGAGAGTTTCGGAGAGATGACAGTTCCGAATTGCGGTATTACAGACGATCCCGAGACGAAACGCCTTTTTCTCACCGTATCTTTCGAGTTATCTTTCTCGAGAACGAGGATGGCCGATGATAAATCACAAGGAAATAATTCGAGACGGAATATTTTTGCTAAACGTTTTCACCTGTTATACAGGTTTCCTCGAACGGTATACACTTTGTACGCAACGGGTTTATCCTGTGGAATAAATAAAATTAGAATCGCGACACGATTTTTTACCATGCTTCTCGTGTCACACGATTCCATCCATCCGCGTCAGGTCTCGGATAGAAAAAGAAAATCCTGTCCTCGACCCGATTCTAACCTACCTATAAATATTCCTGTTACGAGAACGAATCGACTGGGAAAAAGATAAGCGAAACTCGATGTTAATCGCAAATTTTCCTCTCCACCGAACCTTTACCTTTACGAGAAATTCAAATTTACTCGCCGACCTGCTTGCTAACTTAATTATTCGTTCGGATATACGCGCGAACGTAAGAAATCGTCTGGCTTTCTTTCGAAAATTTTCACTTTCTTACCACGGTATTGATTATCGCGTTGATTATTAGATCGACGATTAATCGGCGTAAATTTACATTCGAATAAATCTGGGCCACCTAGCATCGATTCGTATCGCGAATTTATACAAAGCCTGACGCAAAACATTTTCGTGACGTCACCAGCCACTAGACGACAGCCCAGACGAGAGCTTTATTTTTCTCGTAAAACGCTTCAATTTACGCGTACAATTGTACGAACAGCGGAGAGACGAATACTCTGCGTAATTAGAAAGCTCGTTAGCTCGAATTGAAATTAGTCACGTTCGTTCTAAGTTTGTTCTAAAAAAAAAGAAAAAAGAAGAAAAAGAAGGGGAATGATCGATGGTGAGAAAAATGATTAAAAGAAGTCGTAATTAAACGCGTATTCACTGATTGGCGCGTGTTCAAATTTGAAAAGGCATTAAGAAGAGGGTGAAATGCCAGGAAGTCTCGTCGTGGCGATTTCAATCTCGAGAAGAATTCCGACTAACCTAGAAGACAGCCTGCAAATTTATTACCGGCTCGAATTGAATTTCCAAGCGAGCGACGTCGAGGTAAACAGCTGTTGGCACCGGCAGCCCCGAAGCTAGTGATAGAGGATCGACATTGGTCAGACGGCTCTCCCGGTTCGGCCAGCAACTCTCTCTCTCCCTCCCTCCCTTCCATTCTCATTCATTCTTTCACCACCTTATTTCCATCCGATCCGTATCTCGTATCCGGCCACATTCGTCCCTCTAACTTTTCACCCGCAATGAAAGCTTCGACGAGATCGAAAGTTCGAAAGCGAATAATATTCCGGCTCTTTCTCCAGACGCGTGACAATACAATTCTTTTCATTTCGCACAGTCATCCAATTCGTTCCATCTATAGAGGTTTAACCATCCACTCGCTCTTGTGTACTTGTTCTTGTGCCGTTTCAACGTGATCAGGTGGATTTCTATATTAGAGTACCCTTTAGACGAGGGGTGAGCAGTGAGCTGTGGTTGTGTGGTGCTGTATCGTGGTTGCGGTGCCGGTGGTGTACGAGGTGCTCTGGATGATCGGAGTGATTGGGTACGAGGTGGTGGTGGTGGTGGTAGTGGTGGTCGGGGGTGTAGTCGTCTTGACGGGTGTGGGGCGGGGGCCTCAGTGTACCTTGGACCGGGGGCAGAAGCCGCTTGTCGTAACGCGTCGACAGCAGCAGGTTGTCCAGGATCTCCTTGTCCGACTTGCCCTCCTCGAAGCTGCAACACAACGTATTGTAGCTAGCCCACCGGACCACCATCTTCTTCACTCTCCATCGTTCGGTTCGATATCTTATTCTCATTTTTCTTCGTTTCGTTTATCTTCGATTTTGCCTGTAGACACCTCGAAGGTCTTTTCTCGAAACACCGACCCTCGAGTTGTCCAACATTCGGGTATTCTTATCCACTAGACTAACAGCTTCTACCTTGGAGCCTCACTGAATTATTTCCGTATCGAACATCGATCGTGGCTAGATCACGATCGCTAAGATTCTCAAACTCGTCTACGTGGACTAAAACGTGTACGATGCAATCGAACGATCGGGACGCCGATCGAACGCCTGATATCTTGATGGTGGTTGGCGATCGCTATAAAGCGCGGATCGCATATATTAATATCTCATCGCTTCTACATCGTTTCACGATCCCGTCGACGACAACTTTATGCCCGGTAAATCGAGTTCGCGAACGAGTAAACTCCATTCCTTCGACCGGCGTCCCGATTACGAACCAGGCAACTTTGCCTGGTATTAAATGTAGAACGAGTAGGTAAAGAGCCTTCGAAAGGTAAAACGAGGCGACATTAGTGACGATTATTCGCTGTTCCATGCATAAAAGATACATCTTGCTCGTTGCTCGAATTACGAATCGAGTAGGTTTATCAGATCTACTCTATCGGGACTAATGTCGCTCTCTCGATCCTATCGCAAGCAACAAAGTCTTCTACGCTAATTATCTCGCGTTTCTCTCAATTTCTCGACTTAACGAAAAACTCATTCTGTTTTTTTTTATAGAAGTAAGAAAAAGCACGGTTCGCGATGGAATTCGAAAAGTTGAGAGAAAAGGATACTTGAAAATTGTAATTATCGTAATACGTACATGTCCTCGGCGCGCACAAGAGTGACAAGAGTGAGGGCAAGTGTGAGGATACAGAGGATGGTGAAGATGAGGGAGCTTGCGAGGGAGGTGAGAGACAGCGAGAGGACGGACGAGAGGCGGCCGCCACCACCCGCACACCGCCCTAGCGCCACCCAACCCATTCTATGTCATCTGAAACAGAAAGCACATTTACAAATTTATTCGTTTCGTGTAATATTTACCAGCTGTTAGATTACAGGCAAATAGGAAAAGAGGAAGACCTGTGGCTGCACTTTCGATCTACGAACTTTCGCTCGATTCGTACGTATCCGACCCACGGGGCGCATCGACCCGGCCGGATGAACCTTTTTACAGGAAACCGACAAATCGAGGTCGAGACTGTGAATAAGAGAGCGGAAATTTCAAAGCTTAAACGACCACCATTGTCTCGGATAATCTTCAGAATCGCAAAATAAAGTAACATGACCATCACTGACGAGCTTTCTCTCCGTTTCCGTATAAAAGAATATTCCCTTCGGGTTTCTTTTTGTTTTTCGAGAACAAGTATTTCGATCTCGTCGAAGAAAAATAGTGCAACGTAAACCTTGCCAACGGACGCGACGTTAGCGTGCTTAACGACGTCAACGTCAACGTAGCCGACGAGAGGAGACGTTATCAAAGCGTTCGTGTCTAACTTGACCGTGGCGGCAAGTCGACTCGACTCCGAGTCTCGGCTCGTTTTCTCTTCGTGCACTAGCGCTTTTCGAGCACGTTGTTGTGCACCAGTGTTCCGAGTATCTTCGCGAACGCGTCAAGCACCGTTTTCCCTCTTCTCCCTCTTTTTAACCCTCGACCCTCCACCTTGCAGACTCTTTTTTTTTGGTCGCCCCATTGAAAATTCCCTCGACTACTCGAAACTCGAGCTTTCGGTTAACGAACTACGACAAAAGATGAAAAGACGAAAACTCCGCTAGGTTGTTTCGGATTGGTTAAACGTCTGAAAATTCGAAGTATCCAAATCTTAGGAAGATTTTGACAGGCGACCTTAATGTCCTTAATTTTATTTACACAAATCCTATCAGGCCGCAGTAATGAGATTTTAAAGCATCGGGGAAAACGGAAAGTAGCCTTTTCCCGCGTCAAATTGCCAATTGGTTTCTTCCAGCTCTGCGGCTTCTAATCCAATAAAGGCTGTGTACGAATCAACGTTTAGACCCGAACCCGTATCAACCTTACGATTAATCTCCCTATCGTCGTTTATTTGGATAAATACTGTACCTATTACAAGATCCTATCGCATTTCCAACGCTAACGGTACGAACTAATTTCTGCTTGTTAATCGAAATTGTTGCGAAATTTCCGTACCTGCAATTGCATCGTAGAGTTACCGCGCATAAGAGCTGGAAAATTAAACGATTACCCTGATGGGGCTGCAGCCAACTGGCTTCCCTAGACACCGAATCGAAGAATAGACTTAATTGGCTCGCTAAAGGGCAGGTAAAACGAGTCACCAGGGAAAGAGTTGTACAGACGAACGAGAAACGGATAAGGATCTCTTGATTCTTTGCATCATTAACGACGACAGAGGAAAGGAAATAAGGATAAGGAGTGTCGGTTCGGAAGATAACGTAGCTCGAGGGGTAGCTAAAGAGTTCGAGTAACGCGTCGGAACTATTTAACGCGGCGTTTTTTTTTTCTTCTTTTTTCTACGCTTACCCTAGCCCCGTTTTCTCGCGCAAAAGACACGATCGGCCTCTCGAAGTTTGCCCCGGGCATTTCCACAAGTGGCACGTGTTTGCGGTGGCCTACTACTCGCGCCAGCTAAACTCATCGGGGATCAACCAGTTGCGTGTTTCCATCAATCGACCGACTGCGTACCAAACGGTTTCTCTTCTTTTCAAAACGCGAATCTTAATGCCTTTCAATGCTTCTTCGTTTTATCTTTTTCGTTGTTGAATTCAATTAAATTCCTATCGATTTTCGATCGTTCCCGGGAAAGGATCCCGTAGTATTTTCCCTGAAATCGACGAGATTAAGCGAGGCCGCGCTATTTTCAATTTCCTTCGTTAACTCGAGGAAATCGAGTTAATCCTCGACGGTTGATCGTCCCGCTAGCTTACCCGGTAATATGAATCTGAAAAGGCTCGCGACAATCAGGTTACAGGTGTAGCGAATCCACTTAAGAACGACCCTGTATCGCTACCGAGAACGATACTCTTTTGGCTTTGATATACACAACGCAGCTTATTAATTATTAGGTCATCCCATAAGTTCGTGCCGACTTTTGTATGTATACATTTCACGCCTCGATTTATAAACACAAGGCGATAAGAAACCGATGCACTTCAGTTTATTTGTTTGAGGGCAGTATAAAAGAGATTTTCATGGGTATGGGGATCGTGAAATAGTGAACGGATTGATTTTTAACAGTTAAAAATGATGAGTGAAATTCGTATTCATTTCCGACATCTAATGTTATATGAATTTCGAAAAGGAAGTTCGGTAACAATTGCGACAAACAATATATGTGCTGTTTGCGGAGAAACTGCTCTTTCATCTTGTAACTGTAGAAAATGGTTTACACGTTTTAAAGATGAGAATTTTTGTTTAGAAGATGAGGAACGTTCTGATCGTTTTTCTCACACAGAGGAAGACAAAATTCAAGATCTTGTAGAGAAATCACTTAATTTATCAGTTCATGAGATGTCAAATATTCTAGAAATACCAAAAACAACAATTCATACACATTTAAAGACATTAACACGAACTTATGGGATGACCTAATACTTATCCCACTATAGAGGAAAATCTTCGATATGTTTGCGACAGGGAAATTATGAACGGTATGGAGAAACGATAATTAAGGGTGGCCGAATTCGTCGAGGATAGAAATCCCATTTCTATCTCAGCGAGGAGTATCTGGTAAAAGTGGTCGTGGCCGGTACTAGTCAGACAGGCGGCTAGGTACGAGTAAACGCTACCAACCGTACAGCTGATGTTCGTTCGATCAATACGGGGCGTTGCGGCACGAAACGCTATAGAGTATGTCACGTGGCTTAGCCCGGCCCATTCTCAGTCCGCGACTCCTTTCCACCCACTCCTCCTTCTCTTCTCGACAGCCCTTTCTTCCCTAGCGCCAGGATACCTTCGATAATCCGCCACCCTTCTCTTTACCTGACCACGCGACCAAACTCGTCATTTTGCTCCCCCACCCCCTGATTGCACTCGCCTCTATCTTCCTTCCGATCGGCTTTTCACCCTCGTTTACCGATTAAAACGCGAAACCTCGCGTCGCCTCATTCGAAATCGTAAAGATTCCAAGACGAAAGGATTCGAGCGTAGAAGGATGCTAGTTGCTTAGGAAATTAACGAGATACGGTATCTAGAACACCAGACACCGAGACGCCATCGTGACCCGCACCCTCTCCACTCGTCGGCCGATTTGTAACGCGTAACATTTCCAGTGCAACGCAATTTGCAACGAAAGCTTTCGCTTCGATTCCTATAATTAAGGAGCTACTACTCTCCTTTCTTTGCTTCGGCTAACGAGAACTGCGCCGTAAACAACGACAAGGCAGATTCAAAAATACCTTTACCCTTCTCGTTTCGTGTTTTCAAGAAACCATCGCTAATTGATATAATGAATTTTAATGCCCATCCACGTAACGTTCCTCCTACCCAACCCTCTTTACGTACTTACATAAATCTAGATTCAGCTACATCGATCCGCTCTCGACGATATTTCATCCGTACGATGGCTATGAAATGTTACGCAGGTTGAGAAAATGATCCCTATAGAATAAACCGAACCTTGAAGTTGTGCTCTTCGAGGTTATTCATGAAAATCATGCT